TGCCCCTTTATCCCTAAACGGTTCGGTGTCTGGTTCCTAAAAATAGGCCATTCTTTTGTATAGCTTCAGCACAATTAACAAAGCCAAGCGGCTGCTTTCTTACCTTGCACAGTTCAGGCTGTCTGAGGCCTAGTTCAGTGGGCCTGCCTGCCCTCCTCACTAGCGTCTGTGCTCTTCAGGTCAGCCCTGTTTTCTTGCTTCCCGTTTCCTGACAGCAGAACCTATTTGTCCATGTGTTGTTGTAGACAGGGTATCCATTCATTCAGCAAATGTTTACTGGGTGTTTGCCAGGTACAGGGGTGGGGTAGGAGGATTTAAAGATTCCCTTAATTGCACCTCTCCCCCCTCCCCCCTCCGCCAATTCTCAGGACCATGGCACTTACTTTCTAGTCAATGTTCTGGCCTCCCAGGCTGTTAGGATGACTCATAGTGGTGTTCAGCTTATCTCCTACGCTTCCCCATTCCCACTGATCCACATAGAGGTGACATTTTCATCCCCATCTCAATCAGGTAGAAACGATTGGAGATGCCTACATGGTGGTGTCTGGCCTCCCAGGCCGAAATGGTCAACGCCATGCCCCAGAAATTGCTCGTATGGCCCTAGCATTACTGGATGCAGTTTCTTCCTTCCGCATCCGCCACCGACCCCATGACCAGCTGAGGCTACGCATAGGGGTCCACACGGGTAAGGCTGACTCTCACTCCAGCCCTTGTGTCTGCTTTTCCCAGGCTTTCCCAACCTGTTTCTTCTCCTAGGGCCCGTCTGTGCTGGGGTTGTTGGCCTGAAGATGCCCCGCTATTGTCTTTTCGGAGACACGGTGAACACTGCTTCCCGCATGGAGTCTAACGGTCAAGGTAAAACATTAGCCCTCAACCCCAGCCTCAGCCTCAATGTGTGTTGTCCTTTTCTTCTTTTCAGAGTTCCTCCAAATCTCTCAATCTGAGAGATCACAGTTCCTGACTGCCCCATCCTTGGACATATTTTGGTTCTAGTGCATGCCCTGGGAAGACTGAGAGCCTCCTGAGGGGTGGTGGTTTGGTAAAGCTCTCTCCGATACCGCCAATTCTTCTATTGTCTTTTCTTTGATTCATCTTCCCACCATCCCTGCAACCTCATCCCACCCCCAGCCCTGAAGATCCATGTCTCCTCTACCACCAAGGATGCCCTGGATGAGCTAGGATGCTTCCAGCTAGAGCTTCGGGGGGATGTGGAGATGAAGGTGATGGCAGGCCATGGGGAGGGGTCATGGAAAGGGAGGATGAAAGCAATTATGGGGACCATGGGGAAAAGAGAGAGATAAAGAGAATAACATCAAAGAATTTGAATTATCTTCACTCCCCCACTTCTAGGGAAAAGGAAAGATGCGAACTTACTGGCTCCTAGGAGAGCAGAAAGTACCCCCTGGACTCCTGTAAACCCTACTTCTTCCCAAATCAGACAGTCTCCTGCTGCTGGGACCTGGGTGGGTAGTGGTCACCATCTCTCCACACACCAGAAATGGACATTGTCGTGTAAGATGGAAACCAACGTGCACAAAAACCCGACCTTATATGGAAATTGTTGCTCTTTGCAGCTCAGCCTTGTACATATACCTGCTTCGCTCTGGCCTGGTCCCCTTCTTCCTTATCTTCTGTAAATATCTGTATCTAAACCAGAATATTTTGGCCAAATATAAAACAACAAAAAATTTCATGGTGTCAGAGTCTGGGTTAGGGGCAAGTCCAAGGAAAGGTGATGGGGTGTGAACATGGTAACGCCTAGAATAACTGAAATCGCAATCTCAGGACAAGAGAGAACCCTTTATGGAAAGCCCCTTCACCAAGTACAGACAGAATGTACTTCCTTCCCACCTCTCCAGTACAGATGGAAATAGATTCCATATTCCACATCCCTCTTCCCTCCTCAACCCTTAGATAGTGGTTCTACGCATTTCACCACCCTATTCTCCCTGACAGGCAAGGGAAGATCTTTCTCCCAGTTGGTGGGAATAATTCTCAGGTTCATAGGGCAAAGGCTGCCCCAGAGACAAAGGCACTGGTGTTGAGAAACTGCAGTTCTTCCGGAATGGCGTGTCCAGTGTCTTGATGTTACTGACACCCTGGAGGAGGGCCAGAATGAGGACAGATCCTGCTCTGCGCCAAGCTGGAACAGAAGAGCCTCTTCCCCTCCTTCTTCTCCCGCACTCCCAACACCCTCACACACCGGTAGCTGTGGGGCCCTCTGCATCCAGAAGGTTTCAGGCTGCTCCTGACGGTAGTCGTGAGGCTGTAAGGGAGAAAACATGAAAAGCGCTTGGTTTGAATCTCCCTCTCTTAACCTCTACTACTTTCCCACAGCCCATTAGGGCCCAGCTGTACAAATGGGATGGGATAAGCTCTCACCTTGGTTGGGGCAGGAGGCCCGGCATGTACCAGCTCCTTTCGGTAGTCACGGTGTGTCACAGACTCGACCTCAAAGTGCTTCCTTGTGGGTTCCTGCTCTGCCTGCACCTCTTTACTATACAGTTCTGGGGGGCATCAGAGCCATTCTTCCCAGATTTGTCTTCCCCCTCCCCTTTACCCTTCCCCCAGCCTCTCACCAGATCTGATGGTGCAGGAGCATCTCCATCATGGCTTCACGCTTTCCTGTGGGAGGGCAGGGAGGGGACAGAATGGGGGAGTCTGGTTAAGAAGCAGGCCCAGAAGAAACAAATGTGAGAAAAGGAAGAAAAATCATGGGGTTTTACCCTTATACCCATTGGACAATCCATAGTCCTACTAGAAATTCCTTCCTCTCTCTTTTCTCTAATGGGCTCATGCTGGCCCGTTCTCTCATGCTTCCCACCTCGAATTGGCTGATAGTAGTTTCGTGGGGGCTGGTATGAGTCTTTCTGGGTGGTGCTGAAGGACATGGGTGACTGTGGCTGCAGGGTCAGCAGTCCCTGGTGTCCATGTCGGAAGAAGAAACTCTCAGAGCCATCCTGCATACTTGGAACTTGATCCAGGTGGTTGGTGGCTCTCTGTGGGCCCCAAGTTGAGTGACCATGATATCCTTTATGGTACCCACCCTCATCATAAACTACTGCCTCCCCCAAGAAACTGGGGGCAGTCTTCAGGAAAAGGGAGCAGGTCAAAACAATACCTCCTCCTCCCAGTTGTAGAGAAGGCAGTGGCCCCGTGGCAATGTTTCACTGAGAACCTTACAGTTCCCTTCAACCTGGGGGGTCTTCCATTGCCCTCGGGCACCAGGTTCTGAGACTTGCAAAAATTTCCAGGGTTGTTTCCGAGGTTCCCAGTGGCAGTAGTGATTCCAGGAGGCATAATTAGGGACCAGCTCTGCCCTGAGGTTTCTGAAGCTTGGGAGATTGGAGGGGCTGAGCTCAGGGTCATGACCACCGTCTGGACTAGGCCCAGAGTCAGTGGCAGGACCAGGGCCAGAACCAGGACCAGTGCCTTGACCAGAGTCACAGCCAGGGCCAGAGCCATGGCCAGGACCAGAACCGGAGCCAGGAGCAGGGCCAGGACTAGAGCTAAGGTCATTTGTAGTACAGGGATCCTGGGTGAAACGGGAAACATAGACAGGCTCAAAGCCAAGTCTCCTATGGCCTGTCTTGTGGGTAAAGCTGGCTCCAGTGCAGGGCTCCCCAGGAAGACTGTCAGAGGAGCGGTCCAGGAGAACGCTGGGCTCAGAGTAGCGCGCTAGGGTCTTCGTAGATAACGCATCAGTTTTGGCGGTGGAGGCGGCTGCAGCTGCAGTGATGGCGGCTGCCAAGACCGACCCGGGACGGCCATCCGAAGGAAACGGTTCTGAAGCCGACCTGAGCCCTCCAGCACCAGGCTGTATGTCCAAAGATCTAAAAGAAAGCGAATGCGTCAAAGTCCTCAAAAGCGCAGCCCAGTAAGTCCTCTGACCCTTCTTGTTTACACCTGCAGCCAAAGCTGCCGCTCTCACCGAGACCGCGATCCCTTGGTAGACTCGGTGGTCTCCATCTTCGGGCACCAGCTACCGGGTTGCCATAGAGACGGCAAATAATTCCAGGAGACTGCGCAGAACTAGAGTTGGGCGGAAGTGTTGGGTGGGGGTGGAGGCAGATTCTCTGCGGGGCGGAAGTCTTCAACCTGCCGCTGTCTGGGACGTTTGCTTTCCGTTCAGACTCCGTTCCGCCTCAGCCCAGCTTTTAAGGTTCCGCTGGCCTAGGGCCCTGCCTTCTACGCGTAAGCATGGTTCTTTTTTTTTTTTTAAGATTTTATTTATTTATTTGACAGGGAGAGACAGCGAGAGAGGGAACACAAGCAGGGGGAGAGGGAGAGGGAGAAGCAGGCTTCCTGCCGAGCAGGGAGCCCGATGTGGGGCTCGATCCCAGGATCCTGGGACCATGACCCGAGCCAAAGGCAGACGCTTAACAACTGAGCCTCCCAGGCGCCCCCAGCATGGTTCTTTTGAGGCTTTCTAAGGTGGTTCTTTGTGTTGGAGACAAGCACAGGGCTGGGGTATCAGAGTAAAGCATACCTGGTGTGCTTGTGTAGGGGCAACAGTAACTTCCCCTTAGTTCATTCTCAAAAGTGGAGGGAGTCTTTTTAAAATATTTAAGGTTGAAAATACATCAAACAACTCAAAAGCAAAATGGTGAGACATGGGGATCTGTCAAAGGGTAGAGGCCTTTTTTGGTGTAATTAGTTCTCCTTCAGTAAAAGGCCCTCACATTGACCATCCTCCTCTCAGACTCCCTTAGCACTTGGCTTGGCATCTGAGTGAGTGCGAGGATTGAGCAAGGCTCACTCCTGGGTTTCAGTCTCTTCCTACTCACACAAGCTTATTCCTACTGCTACTTTTCTAGAAGCTTGATCCAGGTGGACCATTAGTCATGAGGACTCACAGATCTATAGGCAAATGCTTCTTTAACTGCAGGATGGGCCTCCTTAATGTCTCTCACTGACCATAGTCAAGAGAGATGATTATCTTTAATCAGTTTTCTTTCCTATTTGTGGTATCTTTATATATTTAAGACAGTGATCCAAAATCGAGGGAGAGTAAGTTTATTAGCATCATAGGGTCCCTTTCCCCCCACCCTCCAAGCATCCAGGTCTGAGGTTCTTGGTCAGTTGGTAGGTTCAACCTGGAGGCCACTGGAGCTGTCGGCCCCCAAGTACATGAATGTGCAGATGATACACAGACTGTGCGCCCAGCTTCCCGTCATTGATCACTGAAAGAGAACTTGGGGTTAGGAGGTCAGGATCATGGAAAAGGTCAAAGATTAAAGATCATACTGAGGGGTAGTTTTGAGAATTTATACGTGAGGGGCTCAAGGTCCAAAAGTCACTCACCAAGTCGGTATCCATCTCCCAGGCCCTCAGCCTTTGCTGTCTTCTTGGCCACAAGGAGAAGGTGTCCTAGAAGCTACAGGGAAAGGGGTTGGAGACAGGTGGCTTCATTCACAGGGAGCAAAACCTCTAGCTCCACCCCCCGAAGCCAAACCTTGGCCCTGCTCTTCCCACCTGCTGGTCCTCTTCTTCAGCCTGGCTAATCCGAGGAATGGGCTTCTTAGGAATGACCAGGAAATGCACAGGAGCTTGAGGGGCCACATCACGGAATACGAGACACTGGGAGTAGTGACAGGCCAGAGGCCACCATGTTACTTCAACAGGCTGATGGTATCTCAGCAGTTCCTAAGGGGATGAGTCCTAAGGGCACCCCACCTGCTGGTCCTCATATAGAATGTCAGCTGGGAGACTTCGATCCAGGATCCGGGAGAAGACAGTTGGGGCTGCTCCCCTAGGAGCTGTCTGCTGGGCCTTGGCCACTTCATTTCCGTCAGTCACACCTGCAGCTCCTCGGACCTGAAGGTGGGTCAGACATACCCAAGGGAGGGGGCTGACACTACCTATCCCATATAGTGAGTCGGGGCTGGCAGAAGCTGGGCTCTGTTAGTCATTAACTTCATCCTTCTAAGAACCTATTTGTGGTTCTTATCCAAAAGAAAAGTTCCTCAATTTCAGAGCATCAGTAGCGGAGAGTAGGGTCAGAAAGTGCTGAGCTTGGTTAGATAAAGGCTGTATTACAATGCAGGACTCAGCAGTGCAAGTGATTCCTGTTCCTAATGTGTCTAGTAAATTTAGTTGCTGTTCAGAGGAAAGGACACAGGATGAGAACTGGAAACTTAGGTCCCAGTTCTCCTTTTACCACTGAATTACCTTAGATAAATCCCTCCTCTTGGCTTCAAATATAAAATAAAGAGAATGGTCTGTATCACCTTTGAGAAGACTGGAGCTCTTCCCATTTACTCATACCTTGTTACTAAGTTTCCACTAATTTCCATTACTTGTTGCCTGATCTTTAAGCTATGTTACCCGTTTTATTCAGGTTTGACACAGCACGTCTAGGTGTCACATCCGACCTCTTACTGTGAATTTTACCTCCAGTCCCTTAAATCAGTGAAGGGAAGAATTAAGCGAACTCAGCACCCCCAGCCCCAGGGGATTGTGGGTAGGGAAGCCTCAGTTTCCCAGGGGCTCAGAGAAGGCTGAAGTCCGTGCTGTCACACTGTGGGAGAAAGAGCTGGGATGAACCTGACCCCTCCGACAAGTGGGGAAGATGAGAGGTTAACACTTGTGCTCAGAAGGCCAGGGGCCTGACAGAGGCTGGAGACTGGCTCCGACAAGACAAACCTCACTTCCTGCAGGGGGCGCTGAGGAGGCTGCCCGGAGCAGGCGTTCGGTCAGCTGGGCTTCAGGTAGGCTTAGAAGGCAGCAGCCAATGCACTGACCCCGCGGCGACCTCGGCGCCCGAGGCGGTGCACGGCGTCGGCCACCGCCGCCCACCAGCCCGATCTCACCGCACAGCCCCGGAGCTTGCACCTCGGGAGGGGCGGCGTTCCCTGCCCGGCGTTCGGGCTCCGTCCCCGCGAGGCCGCAGGGCCGCGCGCGCCTGGGGGAGGAACGCCGATCCCCCGGCCCGGAAGGGCGGCCGAGCCCGCGGGACGCCCTCCGCGCGCCTACGGCCGCTTCTCACCTGTGCCCCCCGCGGCCCCGCCACCGCCACCGCCCTGCGCGCCACGCGCACCCCGGCAGCCAGCACCGCGGCTGCCGCCATCTTGCCCCTCAGCCGCCGAACCTCTCCCCGGGCCAGTACGCCGGCCGCGCCGCCAGGCCGAGGTGGGGCTGCCACGGAGCCCGCTTGCTGCCCTTTAGCCCAGAGGGTGGCGCCGTTCACTGCTCCGGCTCCGCCGCCACCGTGGAGGTGGAATCTTTTCAGCCCATTGGCTTCTTCTGCCAGCTGGAGGGCGAGCGTTCCACTCCATTGGCTTAGACTTCTGGTCAGAGTGACGGTTCCTTCGCCATTGGGCCCCCTAAGTAGTTTCGCCAAGAGAGTGTCTCACTCCACTGGAAGGATTAAGAGACCCAGAGGTGGGATTTTCCTCCAGTTGGCTCCGCTGCACCACACTGGTGTGGCACCGAGCCCCGAAGGTCGTAGACCGTCTCCGGCACTGGCCGGGGGGAGGGCGGTTCTGAGGGCGCTCGGCGCTGGCTGGCTCCGGGAAGCGCCGCAACCCGGGGGGCCAAGGCCGCAGAGGGGGGCCGGGCGGGGCGCCAGGCGGGTGGGCTGAAGGAGAACTGGGACGGGGTCCTTTCTTTAACTGGTGGGACGGACGCCCAACTTCTTCCCTACAAGGGCATTTCAGGCCCTTGAGCATTTCAGAGATTTTTAACTTACTCATCTAAGGGCAGTTCCTCCTTCGTTTATGTTCTTGTGTACATACTCCGAGATTGAAGATTCTGCAGTTTGTTTTCAGGGCATTTTCCCCCTTTCTTTTTAAACGGGGGTGCGGCGGCAGTGTCCTGTCTTTGCCACACGACTAATAAGCAAAGTAATAGGTATCCAGTGTTTTTTCCTTATCAGAAATGGTGTGCGATGCAGTTAGCCTGGCGCCTGGCATTTTTAGGTAGGTTTGAAGGACCAGGGAAATGCATCATGGCTAGGTCAGAAGTATATTTCGTTTTGCTTGAATGTATATTTTTGACCGAGGAACGGGGGTCACCAAATGCTAATATTCTCACACAGCTAAGTTTTAGTACGACATTTAACACTTAGGACAGAAGCCACCACTGTATCTTTAGGGTTTTTTGGTTGTTTTTTTTTTTTTTTTTTTTTTTTAGCACAGGTCCTTGACATAGATAGGTGCTCAATGATTGTGGAATGAATAACATTTGGTGTTTCATTTGCTTTCATAATATGTAATACATATGTATTGCATATATATTCTTATTCTGCCCCTTACAATCAATTTTCCACATTATTACATAGCCTATGTAAATATATTTGTAATGTCTGCATTTTATTTATTTACTTATTTATTTTTAAGATTTTATTTGAGAGAGAGAGAGAGAATGAGCGGTGGGATGGGGTAGAGGGAGAGGGAGAGAGAAGCCGACTCCCCACTGAGCAGAAAGCCCTGATGCCATGCAGGGCTCCATCCCAAGACCTGGAGGTCACAACCTGAGCCCAAGGTAGATGCCCACTGACTAAGCCACCCAGGCACCCTCTGCATATTATTTATTTGAGTGAGTTTATCACAGTAACCATTCCTTTATTGTTGACTATTGAATTAATTTTAATGAATGGTCATTATGGCGCTCATTGCATATCACCCGTCAAGAACAACTCTTTACTTCCAGAGATAGTAACAAACTTTGCTATAGCCATGTTATTGTTAGAAAGTCCTTTTTCCCTCCAAAGGGCAGACATTTGACCCTGTGATTTCCCCCTAGGAGTTCTAGCAGTCCAGATTGCATCCCTTCCTTTGGAAGTATAGACAGCTTCCCCAAATGTGGGGAAATGTAGACTGGCCTTTTCTGTGCCCCAGAGGCTACATGCAGTTCTCTGTGGTGTCTCTGAGACCACATGGAGCTGCTCTGGAGAAGCGCAAGAGATAAGAGGAGCTGGCATCTAGGAAGGGGAAGGAAACCGGCCAGGCACGGTAGACGACGACAAAGCACTTTGAAACTGGTTATTTCTTTGGGTTCTCAGGGAGAGCAGATAGCACAGAGATTATTCTTTTACAGAGCCAGAAACTGAGGCCCAGAGAGTGACTTGCCTAAGATCACAGAGCCCATTAGTGCCAGAATCTCCTACTCCTCATAAAAATAACTATGATTCCCTGATTTTAGCCACAGTCACTGATTTTGGCTGCTCGCCCACAGTTCTTTACTCCAAGCCTTTGTGATACCTGGCAGCTGCTCTCTGAGCTGCAGCTCTCTGGAGGCTCTGACCACTGTCTCCAGTACTGATCCCCACCGCTACATTGGCTGCTGGACCTCATTAGAGACTTCTGTTCCTTTGTTCTTTTTTTTTTCAATTTGTCAGTTGCTTCCAGGCTTTACTTTCTTTCCGTTTGTATGGTCAACTCTCTCCACATTCTCAAGCCTTCTTTGTGCTTTCTTTTCCTGATCATCCTCCCTGACACCCTCCCATCATCAACCATCAATCTAACTATTGTGTTTCTTTTCCTCTTTAGGTTCCTGCTTCCAGCTGTACCCGAATCCTCAGCTACCCACTGATTAGGTTTTTCTGTGATTCCCCACATTAGCCTTCCCAAGCCTTCTCCTCTCTCTTCCTATCTCCTACTCCCCACTCTTACCCCTTTCCTTCACAACCAGCAACTGACCTTGTCTCCTATTTCACAGGGGAACTTCCACAAGATCCTGCTTCCTGCAGCTCCGTGAAGGCCCATCATTTTCTTTCTCTCTTCCTCTTGGTCTTAGGGGGTGGTACTTCTCCTGTCCAGAGCAAATCCCTTCACCTCTGCCCTGATCTCATTCCTTCCCTCCATCTCTGGGATGTCTCACCAGGCATCTCTCTCTCTTCTGCATCCTTCAAGATCTTTTTCTCTACTGGTTCCTCCCCTTTTTTCCCTCCTAAAAAATGCTTCCTTGACTCCACATCTCCCTCTGGATATTGTCTGACTTCTCTCCTGCTCTTTTCATCCAAGCTTCCTAAACAAACTCTTTCAAACTTACTGCTGTTTGGTTTCTGCCTCCACTGCACCACTGAAACCACATTATCTGAAGTACCCAAAGACCTAATTATAAAATCCCATGGACATTTTCCAGTCTTTATTACTGGCATCCCCACCTGCATCTAACATCAGTGTTCACTCTATCCTTCTGGAAACCCCCTCCCTCCTTGGCTTGCCTGAAGCCACTCTGTCCTGCTGATGCCAGAGCTAGCATCTTGAATGTGGGTTTGGTGGAGGCAGGTGGCTTGATCCAGCCTGTCTCCTGTGTGGTGCTCTCTCTTGGCCCCATTAGGTGCCAACTCTAAGGTCCTAGGGTGTCTATCCCTGGGCTAGGATCTATCTGCCCCATACAGAACCAGGCCAGATTCCAGAGGCTTCCTTTTTATTGCTGATTTGAGCCAGGTTCAAAGGGGCCTGCGCCAGGTGTTGACACTGTCTGTCCCTGGAGGAGGGAAAAGCAGAGGTGAAAGGGTCAGGTATGGGGGTCAGACACAGGGTCAGGCCAGAGGCTGTGTGGGCCAGGAGGCCCAGGGGGCCTGGGGTGGGAGCCAGGACGGCCAGAGGGCCCCTGCTCCTGTAGAGCCTCAGAGTCAGAGTTGCTGACAATGGCTTCTCGGAGGGTAGGCATCTCTGCAAAAGGCACATAGTCTGCTCCTGGGGGTGGAAACCAGGGCAAGTATGGGGTGCAGCAGGTGAGAGGGTGAGATAGTCCTGGATGGGATGGTTGAGGGTGGGAGCACCTTCCTGCCCAGCCTTCTGACTATGACCATGCCCCCTCACCATGAGGCCTCCCTCCTCGTCGCCGGGTCTCCTCAGTCTCAAAAAAAGTCTCGTGTTCCTCCCAGCGCCGGTCACAGGCCGCACAGAGGAAATTAGACTCAAAGCAGTTGCAGCAACAGCCTAGGGCGAGGAGGAAGCCAAGACAAGTATAGGGAATTGGGGCTTCCTCATGGGCTGACTGTATTCTCATCTCTTCCGTACCAACCACAAACCCGAGTTTCTTCTACCAGTTCCCCTATCCTTATCCCCAAACTATTTGCATCCTACCCATGCCCACCCCTGTACTCCCCTCACCCTAGAAATTACCTTTCACCCTGCAGGGATGGGACCCAGTAGCTGCATGGTCTTCATGGCTGTGTTTGCAGCGACATTGGGCCCTCCAGGCCTTGGGGTCAAAGGTAGTTCGTCTTTTGAGCCAGAACTCACCCACCTCCTCTGGGCGTGATGGGATAAAGCAGAACATGAGGCAGCGACACTGGCCCACATTGCAGGGCACAGATATGTCTGTGGTAGTGGGGAAAGATGGAGGATTAGAATGGCACCTAGTAGGGCCTGGCCTTCCCGTGCCAACCCCCTCCCTCATACCAACACACACACTTTCTCTCATATGGCCAGAGTATAGTTATCCCTCCCTGCTGGCAGGGGCTGGTCAGTTCTCCCTACCTGAGATGATCTGGTGCTCTTTCAACAAGTGTCCACAAAAGCATTTGGACTCATCTCCAATCCGGAAACAGTCCCATAGGTAATGGGGGCAGCGCCAGCCAATGTAGAGACCTGAGTGTGGAGGGATTAACAAGGAAAAGTGAGAAGGAAAAATAGCCTACGCCTCCTACCCAAGGCGTTCTCACCTCTCCCCCTAGGTGTATTCACCTCCACCCATGAGTTCTCATCCCCACCCCTTTAGACATTTTCTCGCCAGGTTTTCTCAGGGTTCCACAAGTGTTTCAGTTCCTTTTCCACCCCAGGATCCACTCCATCTCTGTTAGCCTGTCAGAAATGACTGAGGACAGTCTTCAAGATTATAAATGAAATTTTATTTGAAGATAAACACGAATCTCGCCAAGTTCTCTGTGACTGTGAAGATTCCCATCTCCTCCCCTTCCCACATTAGAAACCAACTTTGTTTTGTTTCCTTGAAGAGTCTAAGGTGAGGGAAGGGAAGATGATTGGCTAGGGGTAGAAGAGAAGCATGGTTGTTGATGGGACCAGAGGCAGAGGAGGAGGAGGTTGGGCAGCTCTGGGACCAGGAGGAGGGCTTTCCTCACTTTTCAAGGTTCGCACCTTCATATTTCCTTTCTTTGTTCCTGGTGTTACTGAACGAACGCTATCTATGAATTTGAGAAGGGCTGCCTATGGTTCTCTAAGAATCAGGAGAAAGAGGTAGGCCGGAAGTCATGAGTGGTGAAGGTCAAGAAATCGAAGCTTGTGAGGCTAAGAAGTATCCCTGAGAGCAGGCACCAGCAAAACACCACAACCCTTAAGAGCCTGGTTTCAGCCATGGGATCTGAAACTGGCTTCATGGTCAGCCTTTCTAAAAGGCAAGGGTGGAGCCATGTAAATGTGGGAGGAGAACCAGAGAGCACATCCCACTCAGATTTTCTCACCCTTCAGGAGACCTGAGAGTACTCCAACTTCTAGGCAAGAATCCTAGATGAGTCCTCATGGAGTGGGATCTTCGCCGTAGGACCCATTCCCATTTAAAGGCTACAGTGAAGTGTTACCTCCACCAAAAAGTTGTCCCTGACTTCCTCTGTCTGTTTAGGGGCCTCTTCTCTTTCTTTGACTCCTTGTGCTACTCCTATCACAGTACTATACACGAGAATGGACTTTCCACTTGTGTTCCTCTTAAACCGTAAGTTCCTCCAAGGAAAGGTCTGTCTTTTCGCCTATATCTCTAGTCCTAGCTTAGGGCCTGGCCAAAATAGGTGCCCAGAGAGCACAGACTCCTTGACTGCCGAAATGAAGGAGCAAGTTCCTTCAGGAGGGAAGACAGACCCAGTATTCCAGGCATAGCCCTGACGTTAGTGTCCTCTGGTCTTTGACTCTGGCCAGGGCCACAATTCACAATTTTGTGCCTAATTGTCAGTCTGGGTTTTCTTGCCTCACCCATGGTTTTTCAGGGTCTAAAGCCCGTCCAGATGTGGCTTTTGGCTTTGCTACTTCTGTCTTGATACTGACAGCCTATAGTACGACTGCCCCGTCACACCAGCGAGTCTTGGTCAAAGGGGCAGAGTACAGGCAGAGTCATAATGGAGGTGAGTGGGGGCCAGAATTCCACTAGAGGAATTCTGAACTCTGTCCAGAGCAGCAGGACAGGCTGAGCAGATGAGGTGTGGAGGTGAACGAGGGTCAGTGCCCATAGATCAAGGTCCTGCCTGAGGGCCTGGGAGAGTCAAGTCCAAGCACTGATATGGGAGTCAGTGTCCAGCTCTCAGGTGAAGACTAGAGTTTAGACAGACTAGCAACTATACCTCAGATTCCATTATAGGTGTCAGTGGTCTTAAAGTGGGACAACTGACATCAGGCCATGTAGTCCAGAGTGGGACCCTCTTCTCTCTGCTCTGATTCCAAACACTCTTAGGACCGGCAGGGTGAGGAGACATTATCTGGGATGCCATTTTGACTCTGTATAAGGTGATTCTACGTAGTTAAGCCTTAAGAATCTTTGCCTCAAGCATTTTCACTGCAGACGTTTTCACTGCGTGATTAACTGGCCATAGACAATTTTGCCACAAAAGAAAAAATTATGAAAAATAAAAGGGCATTCATTAAAAAGGACATAATGAAAAATGGAAAATGAATATCAAAATTAAAAATGGCTTTATTGCAAAATGCAATATATTTGAATTTAAAATGTATAGAATAGTTTCATGGCAATACTGTACAAATAACTGATTTTATTTTGTGGATTGTACCTAAGCACTTGTCTTCAAAGTCTTTAATTCATAGTATTACACGTTTTTGTTTTTTGTTTTGTTTTGCTTGTTGATTCATCTCCTTGTTTGGCATCACTCTTTCTCTTTTTTTGCTAAAATTTCTTCCTTCATTAAGAGAGGTATCAGTTTCCAAATACTAGGATTAGGATACATATTTGTAACTGACCTTTGTATTGTGTTGTGAAAGCTTTCTACACTACTGTTTTTTCTTGGCAGATTGTCACATGTCCATCGATAGACGTTCCAAAGTTGTATGGGAAGTTGTGTGGGTTCAAAACTCTGTGTCACTGTGTAGACAATTATGAAGGCTAAGATCTATGTAATATACAAATGGGAGTACTGTGTCAACAGAGAAATGAAGCCAAACTGTCAACCAGTTGATGAAACCAACAAACTGTCAGACCAAACTATCAACTAGTTTATCTTTTTTTAAAATCTTTTTAAAAATATTTTATGGCAAATTGCCTTATGGTTAATTAATTTTGTGGCTCCCTATTTGTGGCAAAGGTGTCTACAGCACAGATGCTTACTCTGAAAATACCAGACAGGGTACAACACAGTCGATTCCATGGTCATATAATCACATTTGCATGATAACATCTATTTTTGCTTAGAACATCTCCATACAACATACAGTTGTCTTTACATGAAGGGTGTCTCCAGTCCAGACCTCTCTCCTGAGCTTCAGACCCATATAGCCAGCTGTCTCCAGACTCTTTCACCAGCATGTTCCACCAGCACGTCTAATGTGGTACAGCCAATTATTCCTTTCAAACCTGGCCCTCATCCTTTGTCCTCTGTTCATCCAACACATACTTATCATGAATCTACTCTGTTTTAGGCATTCATTAATGGTAACATCATCAAATCAGTCTCTAAGCCAAAAACCTAGAGGTCATTCCAGGCATGTCCTTCTCTCTTATCCCATACATCCAAAGATCCAAAAGTCAGTTTTACCTTCTTAACATTTCTTGAACGTCCTGTTTCTCTCCACCTCCACCCATCTACTTCTTACCTGGATTATTATTACCAGTGACCAATGTAGTCTTCCTATGTCCAGTCTTATCTTTCTCCAGTGTACGATACTGCCAGAGCAGTCTTTCTTTTTTTTTTTTTTTTTTAAAGATTTTATTTATTTTTTTGACAGAGAGAGACATAGCGAGAGCAGGAACACAATCAGGGGGAGTGGGAGAGGGAGAAGCAGGCTTCCCATGGAGCAGGGAGCCCAATGCGGGGCTCGATCCCAGGACTCCGGGATCATGACCTGAGCCGAAGGCAGACGCTTAACGACTGAGCCACCCAGGCGCCCCAGAGCAGTCTTTCAAAAACACAAATTTGTTCATGTTATTGTCCCACTTAAAATCTTTTAGTGACTCTCAGCTACCCTTAGATATAATCCCAATTCTTGAGCTTTGCACAGAAATGCCTGTACGGTTCTGCCCTTCCAGAGCTGAGCCCTGTCCAACATTTCTTGCACTTTCCTACTGATGCCTTGCCCTGTCAGATCTCACCTGGATATATCCCACTTTTTACCTGGCCACCTCTTTTTACTCATCTTTTTTTTAAGATTTTGTTTATTTATTGAGAGAGAGAGAGAACAAGTTGGGGGGGGGTAGAGGGAGAGGCAGACTCCCTGCAGAGCAGGGAGCCTGATGTGGGGCTCGATCCCACAGGACCTGAGCTGAAGGCAGACACTTAACTGACTGAGCCACCCAGGTGCCCCTCTTTTTACTCATCTTATAGATTTCAGCTGAGGAGTCATCCCTTCCAAGGCTTATTCCCTGAGCCCCCAAGATTGGGTGCCCTTTTTTTCTGCTCGTGCAGCACTGTGGGCTGACCTCAATCATAGCAATTAGAATGAATTATAATTATCCTTTTACTTATTGGTGTCTCTCATTAGAGTACAAATTACTTGAGAGATTTTGTTTTTGACATCCCACCAGCCACTGCCTCCACATCTGGCTCAATGACTGGCACACAGTTGGTGCTCAGTAAATGCTGAATAAATAAAAGAAAAGCTTACACTTGATCCTTCTCTACACAGCACACATTCTGATTCTCTAGGGACCCAAGATCCCCAATATTAGGGAACCCTAAATACCTTTTTCAGGATTGAATGACACTTAAATTACTACATAAAACTGCCCGTTTAAACAGGAAAATGAAGAAGTTCCATGTGAAGAAGTATAGCAGCCTTGAAGAGTGGGGAGCAGGCAGGAGGTTCTGAGAAGGAGATCAGGGACTGAATGACCCTGTATTTGCAGGAAGAATAAGAGTGACAGAAGATGTTAAAATAAGCAAACAAAGCCATTTAAATGCCTGAATTGAGACTGAGAAACAAATGAGATCATTATGACTTTCTTGGCCAGGGGTGGAGGGGAAGGGTCCCAGCAAGAGAATGAGGAAAGTAAATTGCATGGAGAAGGGAGGACATAGGATTGCCTGGTTGTCTTTATATCTTAGGCCCATCTAGTTTCAACATAACTCTCTTCCTATCATAAGGGGAAAAGGAAGTATAAAAGACAAAAGTAAATGCACTGATGTCTACTGAATTTAGTTTAGAAGCCCCCAGAATCTGCAGAGCAGGTCAGGGTGGCCTGCTTTCTGAAGGTATTCGCTATAGACATGAAGTTCAGCAACACAGGTACACATGCTCGCACCGGACGGCACGGGTTTACATAGTACATCTGCACACCTTTTATATGCAGGCCCAGATAAGCATAGCGTGCCACTAATGGGGCTGGCAAGAGTACTAATTCTGGGCTGAGACTTGGAATCAGTAGGGCTTGAAGATATGACGCTTCTCTTTGGCGAAGAGACTCATAGCTTTTGGGTACCCACGTGATAATGGTCTGGCATGCAGGGTGACAGCCTTTTAGTGGCATTCCACCAAGGGGACCAAAGTCTTTTGCCATGTCAGAGCCACAAGTCTCCTGGACTGTCTAGGGTCCTGGGCCATCTCTGCCTTAAGGTCGGTTTGGTGCAGGCTCTCAGAGCCCTAGATGTGGGGCTGGCCTATGACCCTTCTTTTTTTTTTTTTTTTCCTTTTAACAACTTTAGTTTAGCTGCCTGTCCCTACCTGGGCTTTATATGAATATCCCCACTTTTTTCTGTACTCATGCTGTCCACTTTGGGCCACCTGGTTTCTCCCCTCCTAGATTACAGGCAGTTAGCATTGCCATTTCCACAAGGGGCAGTGATCCATTGATCAGGTCAGGATCCCCGATCCAGTCAGATTGGAGGATGGCCACCGGCCTGTCACAGGCTTCTGAAGGGCTTTCTGGGCTCACCTGTCTGGATGGTACTTAGGGCTGCATTCTTCTCCCATTGGAAAAGATAATTCACCTGAGCACCAAACTTCTCTCTGGGCATTGTCTTAGCCACTTCCACCAGCTCTGCTCGCTTGGCAGGGACCACTGGGTGGACTGTGTAATCTGGGAAGGGAAAAGCTGAGTAACCAAGGGGAAGTGAGGAGGCCCTAAAACTAAGAGAAGAGGCCAGGTTAAAGAGTAACCCAATCCCCTCCTCCTGGAGCAGGTGTAAGACAGTGATGGGAACGGGGAAAAGCACAGGCACAATTACGGCTAACTCCTTTCTCCTTCGTCTTGCCCAGCTGTTGTCCAGGCTGCGCCATGGCTGCGGTGCTGTCCGTGGCATCCACCCGCTCTTTGTCTTCTCCTTCCTCTTCCTTTCCCTTTGCAGATGTGTCCAGGTGGACCGGGGCTGAAGGGCTTGAAAGGGAGTGCTTTTGAAGGATCTCAGGCTCAGAGATCTGGATGGACCTCCTTGACCATGAGACCTCACTGGGAGAATACTTAGAGAGGTCTTCCTTCAGAGTATCAGGGGAGGATACAGGGACATAGTCTTGTGATGGGGTAGGAGAAGAGAGGTGTTTCTCTGGGACCTTAAAGATGTGAGTTTCCAACAGGGTCTCAGGGATAAGGGTTTCTAAAGGGATCTCAGAGTATCCTATAGGTATCGCAGAGATGCAGGGCTCCAAAAGGGATTCAGAGGGGTAGGTCTCTAAAGGAGCCAGGGAAGTGGATGGAAGCATATGAGATTCAGAGGTGTGGGCCTCTAAAGGGGTCTCAGAGATGGAAGGTTCCAAAGGGGTTTTAGAGGTGTGGGTCTCTAAAGGGGCCTGGGAAGTGGATGGAACCAGATGAGATTCAGAGGTGTGGGCCTCTAAAGGGGTCTCAGAGATGGAAGGTTCCAAAGAGGTTTCAGAGGCATGGTTCTCTAAAGGGGCCTGGGAAGTGGATGGATCTAGATGAGATTCAGAGGTGTGGGGCTCTAAAGGGGTCTCAGAGATGGAAGGCTCCAAAAGGGTTTCAGAGGTAAGGGGCTCTAAAGGGGTCTTAGAGATGGAAGGCTCAAAGCCTGTTTCAGGGATAGGGGGCTCCTGTGAGTCCTCGGCGGAGGGGTCCTTTGAAGAGGGGTGCTTCTCTGTTTCCATGGTGGCATGAGGCGCTTCTGTGACCTTGTCTGCTTCCATCTAGTGGTAGAAGAGGGTACAGTCTTCATTAGGTTGGGACTGGAGGGTCTGCAAGTCAGAGTTCACTGGGGGTTATGGAATTAGGATAAGGTTTTCAGTGCACCTGAGATATAAGGAGGAAGCAAAATGAACTTTGGGTCAGGGTATGGTGCCAGGAGGTTCACCTGTGTGCCTAGACCCCATGTGACATGTGGCTACAGATTGTGAGGGAGCTGGAACTTAAAGACAGAAAGGCTGAAGCAGTCAGAATCCCATCAGTAGATGGTAGCAGAGGACCGTGACCCAGGAGGGAGCCTGAACATAGCAACTTGACTAGTCCAAGAGCAGGGTCCTGGGCCTTAGGACCATGGAGGTCAGGCAGTGGAGTTCTAGAGACTGGGATACCAAGCCAAAGTGGGGGTTTGCTCCTAAGAGTGCAGGACAACGCCATGATGCATTAGGCAGGGCCCTGACTGCAGTCTGGTTTTGTCTAGGGACCACATACACCCTCCCTTGATGATGTCACTCATGTTCAAGGCTTCAGTTACTTCCAGCTGGTATGCGGATGATTCCTAAATCCATATTTCCAGTTCAGACCTCTTTAAATCCCTGTGTTTAACAGTCATACCCAACTGCTTGCTGGACATTGCTAAATGGATGTCCCCCAGGGCATGAAAGCTGAACTCTGGGAATTATTTTGGCCTTCCCTTTCCCCTCAAACCTCATCTTCAAATAGGCACCAAGGACTATATTTCCTATCTTCTAAATAATCCCGAAATCCATTCTCTTCTTTCTTTTCTCTCTAATTTTAAGTTCTCATCATTTTCTACCTGGATTATGTAGTAACTTCACCCCTCTGCCTCCTCCAGCATATTAATCCATTCAGCCATTCTTTCATTGATTTATGTAACTTATACTTTTATAAACAACCCAATCTTACACTTTTGCCCAGGCACCGTGCTAAGCACTGGACTCAGCTGAAAGAATCTGGGAAGGAGACCAGGCTAACCAAAATGACAATACAGATGAGTTGGTGGTGTGCTGGGGTAAGCTTAGGATGCTGTGGAGTGGGGTGTGACAAATTTGTCTTGGAAGGATGTCCAAAAGAAGTCAGTCCTCCATAATGACCCAATGGAGATCTTTCTTTAAAAATGTAAACCTAACAATGGCATTCCTTTGCTTAAAAACACTCAGTTGTGTCAGCCTAAGGATTAAGTCTAAATTTCTTGGCCCTGACATTCAAGGCTTGTCATTATTTGCAACACTGCCTAAGGATTCCAGCTTTAGCCTTCTGTGCTCCCTACTTTCTTCCCATGCTCCAGAGATGCTAAACACGTCACTTAACATTCATGAGAGTCTTTGCAAAAGGGAAGTTTGGGACAAGAAGTAGAGAGAGAGGTAGGATGATAGGAATCTGACCAGACATTCAGCAAGAGGAAAAAGATACTTGAAGGTGGAGAACCAAGGATGGGAGGAGAAGAAGGATAAAAAGAAGGGGAAGAGGGAACTGGGTGGAGAAGCGTGGTGGAGGGGGAGTGTAAGGATGAAAAGTAGAGAATGGGAGGGGTTTCGACTGAGGTGGGAAGGGGCAGAAGGTGTTAGGAGCGAAATGAGATGAGAGTTTGGAGGAGGAACCTTTGGAGAAACCACATACCTCTGGGCTTTGGCTTGGCTATTACAAGTCCTTAGGTCACGATCTCGTCTGAAGCTGGGAAGGGGAAATGTTAGAGAAGGATGGAAGGCTCTTGGATGAGACTCGCCTTGCAGTTGTTATGTAATGAGAGGCCTTGCCTTCAAGTCTACCACTTGGGGAGGGAAGTTGGACACCTGCAGAAATTCGCAAAGGAACTCTGGCCAGATCTGGGGGAGGGTGGGAGGGGAAGGGACGAGGGGTTCCGCGGCGGATGAGGGAGGAGCTTGACTGAAACCTCTGGAACCCCAGCCGGGAGAGGAGGGATCCGTCACCAGGGCAACCAGACGCCCAGGAGTCTCCGTGGCAACAGCACTGGTCTCCAAATGAGGCTGCATTGGACCCAGAGGGGACGAGCCTAGAGGGCTCACTTTTAAAGGGGTTTTGCGGGATCTCTGTGAGAGTGTTCGGGTAGTCTGCGGACGTCTGTGGGGACGTCCGTAGGTGTCTGGGTTTGTGAGGGTTCCTATGAGATGTGTGTGGCTCTATCAGTGGGGGCTGTGAGCATCTGAGGTTGGCATCGGGGCTCCGAGGTTGGGGTGAGAAAGGCAGGGGATCGAGGAGCTGGGGCTGGGGCGGAGTCTGTCCTCGGAGGCCCGCAGAATCAAGTTGGAGACCAATAGCATAGGGCAGAGGGTGGGCTCTACTGACAAGAACCAATCGAGGTGATAGATGGGCGGAGCGTCATAACTACGTCAGACAGAGGCCGCAGCCGCGGGGCCTGGTTATCGCCGGTCCAGCGCAGCCCGGAGTCGCCCAGGCCTGAACTCCTACCCAGGTCCCCGGCCCGGCCTTAGCCGGCCTGACCCCGGCCCCGGGCCCACGAGGACACCGAAAGCCACCCCCTTGGGGGTGGGGAGCGGAGCCGTGGGTCAGCTCTGAGCGCACCCCGCGCTGACCTGTCCGGCCCCGCCCCCGCCCCGGGCCATGGCCCAGCCCTGGTCCCGGCCCCTCGTCCTATCCTCACCCAGCCCTTGGCCCCCAGCCCCGCCCTCGCCCCGCTTCCCAAATCGGCCCCTGCCCCGGCCTGGGTCCCAGCGAATGCCCAGATCCGAGTCCCAACCCAGGCCCCCCCTCCAGTCCCAGTCCCAGTCCCTGTGCCTGTCCTGGCCCCCAACCCCTCCTCTGCCCTTGTTCCACCTCCTGTCACAAATCCCAGCCGAAACCCTGTCCCAACCCCATTCCCAGTGTTTGCTTAAACCCGGTGCCCAAACCCTGCCCTTGCCCCAGTCCCCATTACAGCCCCTCCTTCAATCCCATTCCCTGCCCTTGTTCAAGCCCCAGTGCCCAGCACAGCCCAATCCATTATCTCAGCCTTTGCCCTCATCTCTGTGTTTACCCAAGTCTCTCCCACTATCCACCCCCCTCTCTCATACCCTGCCCCTCTCCCAGCCTCGACTCAGGTCTGGGCTCCAGCTGCCGCCAGCCTTATTGCTGCTGTTGCTGTTCTCGGTCCTTGGCCCGGGGGCTGGTGAGTGCAGAAGCAGGAAGCACTGAGGCAGGGAGGGGTGGACTGGAGGGATTCAGGAGAGGCGGGTCCTGGGCAACTAGATCACTGGGGAAGAAGTCCGGAGAAATAGGGAGGAGAGAGGTCTTACACAATTGAGAGAAATTGGGAGGGTCAGAAGAGAGGAAACCGAGGGCTTGAGGCTCAGCAGGTGCCTAATAATCCCCAGGACAGAGACTCCAAGGTTTTCTTTCCTGGTGGCCATCCTGACCCCGCTTTGACTCTTGCTTTTCCAAGGAAGGAAACTTGGAACTTCTGCAAGGGAAGTTTGATGGGGGAGACATAATCCTATATCAGAGAGCCTCTAGTCCAGTGTGGGAAGTTCTGGCCTAAACTTTGAGATATTGGGCATGCATTAAAACAGGGTTAAGAAAACAGTTTTGAGAACAATGTAGCAAACAGTTGGACATGGGTTAGTTTTCTTCTTGTAATGAGTCTTGTTCCAGATAAGTTTGTTTTGCTTAGGAATAATTCCTGACACTTTTAGAGCAATCTTGAAATATAGAGGGCCATTTTAAAGATGGGGAAACTGAGGCTCAGTTGGGGGGCAGTTTTCCCAAGGTCATACAGCTTGTAAATGGCAGTACTGGGGCTAAAAAAAGTTTCCTAGTTCCTGTTTTATACTAGTTTTTTTTTTTTTTCACTGCAACATATGCCTAATAGGAAAATAGACCCAGTTGAGAGAAGACTCAAAGCACAACCTATCCTCTCCCATGTCTGCCCACAGTGGGGCTTCCACATTTGCCAGTTGTCAGCCTAGGACCACCATCCAGGGAGGAAGTGATTCGGAGAGGGGGAGGTCCAACTTCCTTTTTTTTTTTTTTTTTAAGATTTTATTTATTTATTTGAGAGAGAGAATGAGAGACAGAGGGCACGAGAGGGAAGAGGGTCAGAGGGAGAAGCAGACCCCCTGCTGAGCAGGGAGCCCGATGCGGGACTCGATACCGGGACTCCAGGATCATGACCTGAGCCGAAGGCAGTCGCTTAACCAACTGAGCCACCCAGGCGCCCGAGGTCCAACTTCTTAATGGGTGGAATGTGGGAGCAGGCGGGGTTCCTGGCTGTAGGAGATATGCCATAAAGTTGGCCCCATCTTAAGGAGATGACTGTGGTCTTCACAGCCTCAGCCCCCAGTCCCCTCTGGCACTCTAGATAAGATGGAGATATACCTAAGGGAGTCTTTGGCAATAATAACAGAGCAACTGGGGTGGGAGTTGGGTTTCAGTGAGCTTTGGGGGCCTAGTTCAGTGTATAAACTTGAGGAGATCGGTACATGCCAAAGGTCATGCCACTGCAGAGGTGTCCAAGCTCTATATGTATGTTCACTGGCATCTGAGTACCTATGTGTTTGTGTACCTGAGGGGTCTGGGGGAATGCTTGTCATGTGCAGTGCGTATACATGCTTATGTGTTAGTATGTTCTGTGGCATGCATGGGAACCCCTGCGTGTCCTCTGAGTGCCTATGTGATTACGTGAGGGGGAGAGTACATGTTGTGGCCACACATGTTCCTCTTCAGCAATTCTTGCTCCTCCTATAGACAGATCACCGAAGTGTCACCTTCCAAATGGATTTCTTAGTTGGAGGCAGTGTTTGCTGCCTCCCACAACATATAGGATAATCCATGTGCCCCTAGCCTGACTCTTTGAAGGAAGGAGGTATAGAGGAGCTCAGTGTTGATGAATGCTGCTGGCAAATTAGGCAATAGCCTAATTTGGTAATAGCCAGGTAATAGCCAGGCCAGTTTTTCAGTTTAGGTGAGGGAGAATCTACTGTTGAGCCCAATTCGTAGCATCCATCCCTGCCACCATGGCTTCTTTGTTCACAAGCCCACTGAGCAAGCCTGGGCTGGCTAGGGGAGGAGGGTGGCTGACAGCCACAGAACTGTAGGAAGCTGAAAGATGTGGATTAAAAGATGATTGTCCAGAAGCAGGTTCAGGTGCTTCGGGGAGAATTGTAATGAAGTTGGAAAAGAGCTCTGAATAGGCTCTACTAAAGGCTGCTCTTGGTGTTGTTAATAATCCCTGCCTTGGTGGCTGTGGCCTGGCCCGCAGGGGTGCTCTGTGACCTGGTGGTGGTGACAGGTTTCACCTGAGAAGAGGCTGGCAGTGTCACAGGACCATCAGAGCATATCAGAGCGCATAGCGTAGTCTTAATGAATGCTTATTGTTGGCTTTAGTCTCATTTCAGGAATGGAAGGTACCTCCTGGGTCTCCTGGTCTACCCCAATCCTTGGGTCTTTTCCTTGGGCTCAGCTGACTATAGTTGCATAGCCCAGGGGTGCCTTGCCATCCCAGGAAGTCGCCTTTTGTTCCACCTAGTGCTATCACTAGCAGGGCCAGCCTCTGCCTGTATGTGTATTTGCATGTGTGCGTGTGCGTGTGTGTTTCAGACGGTGGTGGAAAATCACCCTAGCTTCATGTGGAAGTATGGAGCATCCAGGACGGGTTCCTCTGGGCTTGACTAGGGCTTTACTCATGCTTCCTCTGGGACACAGCTCTGTAGGCCGTTGTGAAATGCCAAACCAAAGCTTGGAGTGAATGGGGCTGTAGACACTTTCTCAAGCATCTGCCCTTAGAACTTCTAGGCTCCTCCCACCATGTCAGTTGCTGCTCACTCCCTTTCCCACCAGCCCATTCTGTGACCTCTGTAGCCCCTGGCCACTTTTCGGGTGGCTTAACCAGTTTCCCAGTTCTCCAGGCCATGCCATGTTCCTTTGAATCACAAGGGGTTTTTGTACTTGTACTTTTGTACTTTGTACTTATCCATTTTTTTCCAAAAGTCATTAGCTGCTTTTCACCACCAGTTCTCGGAGGGTCTGCACTGGGGGACTGGCCAACATTTCTTCCTCACAATAGCAGTGGCCCATCCGATGACCTGGTACCAGCTTTGGGGAGGAGAAGCTCTCCCCTAACCCCAGTAAAGGGTGCTCCAGAGCTCCACTTTCTTGTAAACAGTAGCGGCCAGGCTATTCAGCTCTTGGCTTTCTGCCTCCATTATCAGTGCTCAGCTCGCAAAGGTGGCAGGTTTTCCTTGCTGACTGTTGAGGCTCATCATGTGGTCTGAACTGTACTGACTAGTCCTTGGGTCTAGCCATGGCTTTGAAGATGAGCATAGGCCCGTCTAGGGCCCGTGGCCTCTACATACTTAGGGCAGCTCCCTGCAGGGTGACCTTGAAGTTCAGTGGTGCCTTCCTTACCTGTGTTCCCTCCTTCAGCAGGCTCCCTTTCCCAGATGCCTCTTTCTCTCTTATTTCAAATACCTCATCTTGAGTTATAGCTCCCATTTCTGGAAGGGAGATTGTCAGACTAGGTAAGCCCTGTGTGTATTTCCTGTTTGGCTGAAAGCTCCCCTCCACAGTCTTCCCTCTACCCCCTGCTCTGTCCTGAAGCTGCTGGAGTTCCCAGCCTTCTCATCTGTCCTGGGGGCATCCTTCTGTGCTTCTCTAGGGCTGATCTTAGGTCTCCAGAGCAGTCAGATTCTCCAGAACTTTGCCTGCCATCGGGGACACTCTTCTATGCAGCTGAGCTACTGGGTTATTTTCACTGTCACGGCAGTCCTAGTGCCCATGCATTTGCCTGGAGAGCTGCTGACACCAGACTTTTTTGCTCACCTTGGCTCTGCTCTGAACAACCATGATCAGGTACTTGTATCTTGGCGCTTCAGTTAGAGATAACCAGTGCCCCCAACCCCAAGTGTGAATATTTCCAAGTGGTTTGATCTTCTCCTGAGTCGCCAGCTGACTGCCTCACCGGGCCTCCCTCTGGGGAAACGCCCTCTGATTGCTCATTCTGAATCCTACAGGGCCTGATGACTCCCCTCCTCTCCTGGGAGTTCTCATGGTGGCCTACCAGCTCCTGTTCTTGCCTCTGCCACCCAAGCAGGCCCCTTGCATCCTCACCACACTTTCCCCTTCCCCCTCCCTGAGCCAGTATACAGACAGCTTTTGTGAAGCTTCTGAGGGTTTTTACTGCTCCTGGAACCACAGGGGAACAGAAAGGGGAAGAAAATAAACAAGGAAGTTACACATTCAGTGCTGACTCCCAAGCTCCACAGGTGGAGTTCTAGCCTGCTCAGTGGCCAAAGAGCCCATGTCCCCCACCCCCACCCCAGCACACGCCATTCACACCTCTGTTTTGTTAAGCTTGCTAAGAAGAGAACAATGACTCCTCAGTGAGGGACAGCTGTGGGGGCATATAAAGGGTCCTGGTTTGGGATGTAGATAGATCTAAGTTTGAATCCTCAGTTGGTCTAGGTTTGAGCCTCAGTTTCCTTATCTGTAAAAACAGGTCATTTTTCCCAAGGTCATTATAAGGAGTAAAGCAGATGGCTAGGGCAGCATGAGCCCCAGCTCTTGGCTCAGAGGAGAATATTTGTTGAGTTGGTGCTATTCCTGTTGCTTAACGAACGTGCCCTGTGTCCTACCCTGCTCCTTTCTCTCTTGCCTGCTCCCCAGGAGGCCTCTTCCTGACTGACTACTCCACCTGCTCACCCCGCAAGCTGAGTCCCTTCCGCTCCTTTGCCAGCACCGAGCTCTTCCACTTCCATGTTCCTGAGGACACATTCCTGGCTGTTTGGAACCTCATCATCTTCAAGGAGCAGGGGGGAACCTTTGGGGACCACTGCCCAGACCAAAGTGTGACTGTGTGAGTGTCCGAGTTAACATCCTGACCCCCACCTCCAACTCCAGAGCACTTTCCAAACTAAAGTGTGACTGTATGAGTATCTAAACTGACCCAACCCCTCACCTATGTCCAGATTGAAGTATGACTAAGTGAGGGACCTCTGGCTCCTGACTCCTGTTTGACTGTGTGAGAGCCTGAGCTGACTTACTCTTTATGCCCTGACTCCTGACCTGGAACCACTTTGCTGTATGTATCAGTATAGGGAATTCACTTGTGTTATTGGTGATGAGTGACAGTTCTTTCTTTTCCCCATTTCCCATCTCCCACCCCATTGCCTGTTGTCTTCCTCTCCTCATTCTGGTCCCCCAGGTATTTCCGGTCCGGGGCACCCCCTGTCATCAATCCCCTGCACACACACTTCCCAGGGGACACGGCTGTGCCTGGGGTTTTCTCACTGACCCTCAGCTGGACACTGCCCAACCGCACCTCAGGCATCTTTAACGTCAGCAGCCCCTTACCTGGGGACTGGTTCTTGGCTGCCCACCTTCCCCAGGCCCATGGCCACATCTCTGTCAAGGTGGGTTGATGCTGCCCAGGGTAGGAGGGGCCAAAGCTGCTTCTCCATGCCTGCAGAATCCCCCTCAGGCTACCTGGCATACCAGCCTTGTTCCAGGGTGGGCAACAGCATAAGGGTGGCGAGGGTGGGGTGTAGCTAGAGGCTGGCAGGTGGGCCAGAGGTCATGATCTGTAGGAGGCAATTTGGGAGCCTTAGGAGGACATAGTGGGTGCAGGTAGCTGAAGGGAAAGTGCAGAGTCTGGAATCGGTCAGAGGCCCTGGCACTGTGGAGTAGTGTCCCTGTTAGAAGGTGTGAGGGTTATTCAAGGTGATCAGAAGCCGGCCACGGACTGGTCATATGCTGCTGCACAAACCCAAGACTGGTCTTGTTCTACATCTTGATTGGGGATAGCCCTGCAGACTCTCATAGGCTCCAGCCCAGTTGTTGGTCCATCTGGGAGAAAACATTCCTCTTCTATCATAATTTCAGCTCCCTACACCCTCTGGAAGACCATAGGAGAACACTTGGGGGCAGGGAAGCCCTTTCCTGTTAAAAGGAGGCCTTGGGCAGCTGGTGTCCATCCCAACTGTTGCTTCCTTTTCTCCAAATGTCAGCTCTGATTTCATAGAACAGAGGTTTTTAAAGTCTGAAGTGTAGGTTCAAAGGTCAGTATCCTTCTCCATTCTGATTTGGAGGGGAAAGAAATGCCACAAAGTTTTCCTGCCCCTCCCAGGTACAGGCCACATATCCTCCTTGTAGTGAGAGGATCTATAGGTTTCTTACTCTTGTCCATTGGCAGGAAGGGAGGGTATGATAAGCTGGCCCTTGGCAGAGTGGGATGGCCACATGTGTGGGGCCAGTGGTAAGGGTGAAGGACTGAGCATAAGCAGAGCAAGGATTTAAAGAACAGGATGCTGAGGAACACGAAAGCTAGTGGGACTTGGCCATTGAGAAATTTCCAGTTGGGAAGATTTGACTCAGCTGTATCTCTCCAGGCTGAGTTCCTTGAGGGCAGTGGCTCTTTGTCCACGCCAGACTCACCTCTCCTCCTCCTGCTATAGTGCAGTGCTCAGAGAAGGTGTTATGATGCTTTTGAACGAGTTGAGAATTATACAGGGACAGGTGCACTGGTCTGCTGTTGTCAGCGATGGGAACTATGGCTGAGAAAGCAACTTGAGGCCTCAGTGATAGGCCTATCTTTCCTGAGAGTGTTGTACCAGAGAATTTCCTGTCAAGGCCTGAGAGCCCTGTGGATGACAGCATGTTGGGAACTCACCTGGAAATGGCTCTGGGTTCTAGGTAGATCTTGACTCTCATCAGAACTAGGGGTTATTCTATTCCAAGGAATGCCTTAGGTCTTTGGCCAAATCCCAAAGAGCACATTCCTGATTGTAACTTCGATCCTTGATTCTCTTTGTGAGAACTGACAGGGAAAATCTTTCTGAAGCCCTGCTCTAGTTATCCAGAAACCTTTCTGGATGAGTAGGAGGAACTGGGGGCCTGGTGAGGAGAGGTCAGAACCAGCCTTGATGTAGCCATTTGCATCTAGATATAGCAAGTGGGGTCTGGGACTTGGAACTGCAAGCTGGAGGGCTAACTGGCAGAACTCCTGAGGTATGGCGATATCAGAGACAAGGGGACACTGTTACACCTTGCCCATGAATGACAGCAGGCCTGAATACCATGAGAGATATAGATCTTTAGTTAAGGCGTCTTCTAGAGGCTTGGGGGTGAGGGACGGGCAAGAAATCATCCTTGTGGTTTCTCTAAGAATTTGATTATCTTTTGGAATCTTATATGGGCCTCTAAGGATTCTTCTTCTCTGGTTAATTCCCTAGACTCCAGCCTGTGAATTAATTGTCCAGAGCATTCCTCCAGGGCTCCATCTTCTTGACTTACTTTCTCCTCATACTGCTGTCCTGACTTCCTGTGAGGCTTGGCCTCAGGTGGGGACTGAAGAGTCCCAACCATAAGAAGGCAGCACTGTTTCTACGGTCCTCCTCAGCTTTGGGGATGAGCTCAGACCTCCCTTTAGACCTTAGTCCTTGGGCACCTGCTTTGTCCCAGACCTTGGGTGTGAGGGACACAGATAAATAAGATGTATATTAGTGAGATACAGGAGATGTTTTAAGAGGACAAAGGAGAGATGGCTAACTCAGTCTGGTAATATGGGAGAGGTGGTTTTAGGAAACAGGAGGGGAGACCTGATGTTGAAAAAGCAAGGGAAGCCATTCCAGGTGGTGGGAGTAGCATGGGCTAAGGCGCAGAGGGGAGAACTGAAGCGGTTCAGTGTGGAGTGCTTGTTGGATTGGGTAAGGGAACTGGGCGGGTGAGCAGAGGCCAGATCACGAAGGACCTAGAAGTTTGAACTTTATCCTGAGAGTGATTGGGACCTTTAAGAGGTTGAAGAAGGGCAGTGACTTACCTGATCCATGCCGTTCTCCTGCGCTCTGGTCACACACGTCTGCAAGCTCCTGTGTCTGTGGCACTGGCTACTGTATTCCTAGCACCTGGCACAGAGCCTGGCACACAGCGGCGGCATGGCCAATTTTCATTGTTCTTCTGCTATCTTCTCAAATTCATAGGGTCCCAAACTGATCTCACTTCTCCTTTCCTTTTCCCCTTTTCCCTGTCAACCTCTTCTGTCTTGACCCATGCCCTCCATTGCCTTGCCCTCCCTGTCTTGGAGCATGTGTTCATTCTGTGGTGCCCAGTCTGCCCTGAGGGACTGACCTTTGGATTATAGGTAACATCTGGTACCACCTGGCTCATTAGGGGAAAGTTTTCCAAATTTCTGGAGCAGAGTTCTCCTCAAATGCTTCCTCTTTCCAGCTCCAAGATTTGAAAGTAAATGAAAGCAGGTAACGTAATGAAAAGAAGGATAAGGAAAGCAAAGAAGCAGATGGTAGGGAAGAAAGGATCTGACTGAATCCATCAACCAGACCAAGTATAGCTCTGTATCTCAACTTGAAGAGATTAAAATCTGCTAACAGTGCTCATTCTGCTCTTCCTCCTCCTTCTAAATTATTATATTTGTGTCTCGAATAGGTAATATATGCACGTGGTACAGCATTCGAAAGGTACAAAAGGCATACAGTGAAAAGTAAGTCTTCCTCTTCCCTTCACTCCTTCCAGTCCCTACTTCCTCTCTCCAGAGTTAAGTAGTAACTAGCTATTAACGAGTTCCTTCTTAAAACACTTTCTCCTTGTGGCCTTTATGACTTTATAGAACTGTCCTGATTTTCCTCCTACCCACCACTCTTTCTCTGTCTCCTTTCTTGGTGTCTCCTCTGCTTGGTGCATTTTGTGGGGCCCCAATGTTTGGTCCTGAGACAGTTCCTTTTATTCCTTTTTATTTCTCCATTCTCTTGCTAGGTGTCTCCAGTTTTAAATACCACCTATAAGTTATATTTTCCAAGTGTATTCCATGAGTCCTAATTTCTTTAAATCTCAGACTTTATATTTAATGGCTTGGTATCTCTGATTGGATGTCCAAGAAATGTCTCAAACTTAGCATGTACAAATCAAAGCAGAGCCCAAAGTGAAAATCTCACTGATTCTCATTTTACTTCTCCCAGCCCAAGCCTCTTCTCTCTCGTCTTCTTCTCAGTCAGTGGCACTGCCATTCTCCATTTGCTTAAGCCCCCAATTTAGGTGTCATACTTGATTCTTCTTTTCCCTTTATTTCTCTATAGCTAGTCCGTAAAGAAAAAGTCTTGTTGATTCTACTTCTAAAGTATGCTCTGAATGCATCTGCTTCTCTCTTTCCATTCTGAGCAAACCTTCCCTGAGCTTTCTCCAGGGCCACCGCACTAGCCTCCCAGTCATCTCTCTGCTTGCACTCTTGTCCCCTGCAGGCTGTCCAGCACTCTTCTGTGTTGATTGGTGCTGACTGACTTTGGGCCAGGGGCTGTCCTGGGTATTGGGATATTCCTACAGGGAAGGGCAAGCGTCTTTGGGCATCTTAGTCCATAAGCCCTATCCAGAGTCTGGCACTGGCCACCCTGCTGAGGCCTTCCACAGGAAACTCAGCCTTGCTGAGGACAGTCTGGGGTTCAGTCAAAGGCCTTCCTCCCTAGCTCCTTTCAGACTAGTTCCCACTCTACTTCTCACTTTGGCCCTCCTGGTTTCTCAAGTGTCCTTGCTTTGACCCCATTCCTTACGTGACTGCTGATGTTGGCTCAGTTTGGACTCTCTCACTTGGCTTATGCCTTGGCAGCTCCTGAAGACCTGGCTTCTGGTGCCCTTTCTCTGGCCCTATCAAGGGTGAAGGCTGCTGCATCTCTGCACCTTCCCTGCTCTCCACTGATTGAATGCTTCCCTCCGCAGTAAGGGATGTGCGCATTATACAGTTTAAGGAAGGAGCACATTTTAACCATTGAGGTCATGTCCATTGATCCTTCAGTTAAGCCAACAACAAGAAAGATGTAGAGCAAAGTGTTTCTTCCCCCTGGATTGTCCATCCAGCAAGGAAATGGGCCACCTCCTGCATGTGAGCCCCCACCTTTGGGGCTCGCTTACTGCAAGGTTATTGTGGTGGTGACTGCTCCCGTAGGAAGTGGGGTTGATGAGATGACTTGTGGTAGTACTTCTGGTCCTTAGGGTTTGACACCAAAAATGAAGGACATCTGCTTTGGGTATCAGAGATGGAGGTCTTCGAGCAACTAGGTAGGTTGAAGAGCTCTCTGAAAGGACCCTCTTTTTGTCACCCACTCTTTAACTGAACAGATATTTTCTTAGTGCCTAGTATTTGCCAGGTAGTGTGCTGGGCATTGGGGATGCAGTGGTGCAAAAGGCACAGAAGAATTCCAGGCAGAGGGTAGTGAGGTCTTTGGCCTGGCCTCATCAAGGCCTCCCTGCTTCCAGCCTTGGGGTGCTTTGCTGGAAGTCAGTGCCTTGGCTGGCTCGTCCACGGTATGGAACCCAGAGGGATGTCAGAGCCTGGAACTTCTGTCAGAATGAGGTTTAGAGGTTTGTCTCGGTCAGAAAAACCACATAAGTAAACAGTGGCCTTCAGTTTCTTGGGCCAGCATAAGGCCATTTGTCCAGAAGAACTGAGAAGCCTCATCAGGAGCCCTGTCCTCCTCTGACCTGCTGGGATCAGAGGGCTTAGGTAGCTGCAGATGCTGCAGAGGAGGGGCCAGAAGGGACTGTGCCCACAGAGGAGTGAGGAGGCTGTGCGTGCCAGGGCGGTGCTAACTCAGTCGACAAGGGTCAGGGATCTCACCCAGAAGAGCAGCTTAGATGTGGCTGTCGTGTCCAGTAATGGAAGAAACCCAGCTTGATTCAGAAGGAGCAGATGTATCTGTGGGTCCCCTGAGACAGAGCAGTGGGAGGGGAGACAGAAAACAGGCTCTGGCTTCATAAACATCAGAGCTGCCCACAGCTGTGTTGATTCGTTTATTCATTCATTTATTCAGCCGATGTTCATCTGTGAGGCATGATTAGGCTTCATGTCTTGGGGAGCAAAAATAAAATAAGACAAGGTTCCTGTTTTCAAGTTGCCTACAGTCTGGAGATTGCCTAGAAGGTAGAGTGGCCCTTCCCCGGGGGGTGTTAATGCAGAGGCTGGACAAACACTTGGGAGGGCCGAGTAGGGAATAAAGGAAATGAAAGATTCAGATTAGGAAGGCTGGGTTTGTTTGGACTAGAGGCCTCAGGGAGCTTTCTAACCCCAAAAGAGAGCCAGTGTTCTAAGTTCTTGAGGGCTTGGAGGGGAAATGGGGTGTTTTGAAATTACCTCGAGGGGCTGTCTGGGAGTGTCCAGGGGGAGGGGTTAGAGTGGAGGAGGTGCAGGCCTGATTGCCTGGGGGGCGTGGCTTCGAGTCCCCAGACGTCAGCCAGTGCGGAGGATCGGAGTAGATCCTATGCACCCAGAAAGACAGAAGTGGAGACCAGGCAGGAGGGACCCGGAGCTTAGAGAGACCTCAGTCCTAGCCCTGGGAGCTTTGTCCCCCACCCTTTGGCAGATTCTGTTTGCCTTGCTTTAGTAGCGCCCTTGCTGTCTCTCCTCCCACCACTCCTGCTTTTGTCTCAGGGTCTCCAGGATGAGTGTCAGTACCTCCTTCAACCACAGCTGATTGTCCGGCGTTTGCTGGACGTTGCTGTGCTGGTGCCTGGCCGTCCCTCAGAGCAAACCCTCTCGGCCCACAATCGCTCAGCCCTGTACAAGTAAGTCGAATACTCCCCCAAACCTGACCCTTTCCCTCTTCCTTCCTTGGCTTCAAACAGGGAACAGGGTTCTTTTGGCTTCTCAGCCTGTCTACCTGTTCCTACTTTTCCACTGGCCAACCTGGGCTACGGGGCCACCCAGAGCCCCCGGGGCGGGGGTTGGACCCCTGCCTCCCTCTCCCCCGGCACAGAGGGGAGGAAGCAAAAAGGCCTCCTGTTCTCCTGTTTCCCCTGTCCCTCCATGCCGCCTTCTTCCTGAGTGTTTGCCTCAGTCTGGTGTCCCTCTCAACCTCTCGCCTGTCCTTTCTTACCCCCAACCTCCCCTCTGCCCAGGGTCTTTGTGCCCAGCTTTACTTACAGGGTTTCAGCACAGCTGGCGTGTGTGGGGAGCCGCGGGGCATCAGCCTGCCCCCTGACGTTGCGCCTGCGCCCCAAGGCCCCACCCCTGCACAACTCAAGCTCTTTGTCCTGTGGAGGTGCCTCGGTGTGCCAGCTGGAGCTGGCACTGCCCCCCTGGGGGCACTGGGTCTACGTGCGTGTGGAGATCCCATCCCGGGGTCCTGGCAGGACCATCCGCTTCCAGCTCTGTGTGCGGTTGCAAGGTCAGAAGCCCCACATCTGCCTTGGCCACTCAGCCTGTGCCGACATCTGTGGCTGGGAAGAGGCAGCCAGGTGGTTGTGTTCAGCTGACCCTCTGCCATGGCCCTATAATCTCCCTAACCCCCCAGGCTCCTTCACACTCCCCAAAGCCCTTCCACTTGAAGCTTCGATTCAGTGGAAGGCCTTTAGATAATTTTTTGCATTTGACTGGGGCTAACTAAGGGACCTCATTACTGTCCTTGATTTAATCTCGTTCAGTTTCCTGGGGGTAGGCAGGGGCATCTAAAACCTCTGGGACACTGTCCTTGCCAAAGCCCATGCAAATCAGTGAGAGAGCCCATCATCTGTTTCTACAGTGTCTTCACTGTCCTTGGGGAGGGAGAGATGACCTTGATTCCCTCCACATGACATTCCGTTGGTTGTGACCACTAGGAACCCCCTGGGCCCTATCTTGTGACCCCTGGATGCCCCATACTTCCAAAGGACATTTGATTCTAGTTCTCATCCCTCCCTACTCTTTGCTAATTCCTGTCTGGCTCAGGTCTGGTTTGTGGTGGGGCTGCAGGGCTTGTGAGGGCGGCAGTCCCCAGCACTGATTTCCTCTGCCCACAGAGTGCCCACAGCCCAGCCTGTCCCGTGTCCTCGTCCCTGGAGCTGCCATGAACATGCCCCAGTCACTGGGCAACCAGCCACTGTCCCCAGAGCCGCCATCCCTGGGGGCTTCTGCGGAGGGGCCTGGGGCCACATCCCCACCAGAGCACTGCTGGCCAGTGCGCCCGACACTGCGCAATGAGCTGGACACCTTCTCTGTCCACTTCTACATCTTCTTTGGCCCCAGCGTGGCCCTGCCCCCTGAGCGCCCCGCAGTGTTTGCCCTGAGGCTGCTGCCAGTGCTGGACAGTGGAGGCGTCCTCAGCCTGGAGCTCCAGCTCAATGTGGTACTCTTGGTGGAAAATGGGGAGGCGGGGGGGGGGGGGGGTTGCCCTGGAGGGGAGCTTGAAGGAGAAGATGTCAGGGTTGCTTTGGGCCCGCTTTATGATTAGGGACAATGTCTCAGCCCAAGTCTGATCAATAAAGATACAGACATTCCCCTGAGTGTTGACTCTACTACAGATAGGGCTAGGTCAGCCAGGGCGACTCACAGTGGGCTAAGTTATCCCAGTTTTATAGGCTAACCTTCTACTTCCCAAGGGCTTCTGTGGCAGGTGTTCACTTTTCTTGCATATCTTCTGTGATGGGGAGTTCACCACCTCTTGAGGCCATGCGGTCCATATTTAGACAGCTCTGATTGCTAAAGGAAGTCGTGACATTCCATGAAAATCTGCCTCCAGGATTTCTACCCACCAATCTTTGTTTTGCCCCAGAAGCTATATCCAGTAAATCTATCCTTGTCCTTTTTTTTCTTTTCTTTTTTTAAATTAATAGACTTGATTTTTTCAGAGCAGTTTTAAGCTTACAGAAAAATTGGGCAGAAAGTACAGGGAGTTCCCATATCCCCCCTCTTTTTTTTTTTTTAAAGATTTTATTTATTTATTTGACAGAGAGATACAGTAAGAGAGGGAACACAAGCAGGGGGAGTTGGAGAAGGAGAAGCAGGCTTCCCGCGGAGCAGAGAGCCCGATGCGGGCCTCGATCCCAGGACCCTGGGATCATGACCTGAGCCAAAGGCAGATGCTTAACAACTGAGCCACCCAGGCACCCTCCATATCCCCCCTCTTTCCCTGCACAGTTTCCCCTATTATTTTACATCTTCTGTGTGGTACAGTTGTTACATTCCTATCCTGTTAAGTAGTCCTTCAGATGCCCCTCATCTCCCCAAAGCTGAACAACCTCAGCATCTTAGACCTCTCCTCATCCTCTGCTGTCTCCTCTGGTCCTAGTGTCTCTGAGATAAGTGATCCAAGGGGGTCTGACCAGCGTGGCAGGTGGTGTTTGTGCAGCCTGAGGTCAGGTTCCCTCTTTGAGCTGCCACATCACACTGGGGGATCACCTGGGGTTGTGGTGAACTAAGATTTCGGAGTCTTTTCCTTTTTTCTTTTTCTTTTTTTCAAACCAGTTGTGTACATTTACTTTTTTATTATAAGAGTAATAGGATCACATGTAAAAACTTTGGAAAATTGAAGAAGACCTAAAACTGTGTGTGTTCTCAGTCCTTTTTCACATTAACTTCTATGTTTATCTACTCGTCACTAAGGGACACACACATTTTTGTGCCCTGAGCTGGTTCATGTGAACTCCTGCCAATTCCCACCTCATATTTTTGCGGTGAACTTTTTAACTTCAGTGAAAGAATTCATGTCCATCTTTGAGGCATTGCCTAGTACTAGTTTGGGTCTTGGGTCTTCCCTGCTTTATGTAATTCACACTTGAAAAGCCAGCCTTCTGTATCTCTTAGTTATTATTTTCAGCATTAAATAAGACTGGGCTTAGGGCAGAGCCCTGTGTCAGGCCATTAGTGACTGTCTTAAATTGACATTGATCCAATAATTTATGTACTATTCCCCAGCTCTGGGGAGCAGGCACCATTTCCCTACCAGCCAACCTGAGACCTGGTCTGTGGCTAGATGTGGTCTTTTGTAGGACATGGCTCAGAACTTTTTAGTCCTCCTGCTGGTCAGGACAGATCAGATTCTTAAGCCCAAAGACATTCCTTATTTTCATACTTAAATTCTCTGTGACTCTTCTTGCCTTTGGGCAGTGACAGTGAAGTCTTGATTTGACCTTGAAACTATAGAGCCTGTTTCAGAGACCAGTAAGACCCATACTTGTTCTTCCTCAGTATCTTGAGAGTAGAGGCCCAACCTCCCTGCAGCCTCTCACCCTGTCCCTTTGTGCATTCATCTGCATATATTACACCCATCTGCATGCCATGACACTTGTTACACACCTCAAACAGCCTATTTTATTTATTCTGAAAGATATATTGGCTCATCTACTCTGACTTTTCCCTCCGAGTATTTTGATCTTTCCCCTTGGAATCAAGAACTGAACATTTGGATCAGAGAACTGCATACCTAGAGGACATTTCTCCCCCTTTGGCTTCCAACTAGAATGACTTTTATGGTATAATACTTGGGTATATTACCCTGGCTTGCATTGAGGGAAGTTATAAACAAGTTGTATGAAATTCACTCTTGTGGTTGAGGACAGGATGCATGACAGAACACAGTGCTTCTTTGATGAGAATTTTCCTGAGAACCACCGGTTTGGATGCTGTGCTTCTCTTGAGACTCTAATTAAATTTTATCTTATGGACTCGTAAGATAAAATCTGGTAACTCATTATGTTTCCTTTTTTTGCTTTGGTTGCTTGGAAGTTAGCATCAAATATATGGCTCACATCTAAGGACAGACTTTATTTTTTTATCTTGATTTTTAAATTTCCCTCATGCATTTATTTTATCCTATTATATGCATTTAATAAGCTACCTCAAATCCTTTTTGAATGAGGTGAGCTTATGGCATTCTGTTACTTTTATTCTTGTAGACACTCCTTACATTTACTCCTGTGGATATCTGGTTTCTTTAAATCCCAGACAGGTTGATACACTAACCCCCCAGGTGTTCTATTACCGCTGTTCAGTACCTAGGATCATTTTACCTGGGGAAGAGTACATTTCTTTACACTCCTCCTGCCTTCAGACCCAAGTGAAGATGATTGAAAACCTTACAGTTTCCTTTGTTCACAACTAGTTTCTACATCCAGCAACAGCCCCCCTCTCACTCCCCCCTCAGTAAGCTAGATGGGACTGAAACAGGGTGTTCTCTCTTGTCTGGACAGAGTTTAAACAATTCTGCTCAATGACAATGTTCAGAACTGGGCCTTGCCTTCTCATCAGTCTTTGAAAGATCTCTGCTGTGGAGGATCTGGTGTTCTCCAGTTTTTCTGTTCTAAGAATAGGGGTGAGAGAGGGAGAAAAGAGAGAAGGACAGAGAAAGAGAAAGAGGGAGAAAGAGAAAGGCAGGCTTTGGTGTGGAGGAATGGGATGTCCTGTGAGCTCCCGGAGGGAGGAGGAATGGGATTCCTGCAGGAATGGGATGTCCAGTGAGCTCCCGGAGGGGTTTCTGGAGAGGTGTTAACAGGTGTAGGAGTCTGGGGGCGGTGGGGGTGGTGGTAGGGTCTGGAGGGTGTGACCTCTTCGTTTTCATACCTGCCCTCGCAGAGCTCCCTGCTCCAGGAGAATGTGACGGTGTTTGGATGCCTGACTCACGAGGTGCCCTTGAGCCTGGGGGATGCAGCGGTGACCTGTTCTAAAGGTGGGGGTGAGGAATGGGGGAAGCAGAGGAGGCTTTAACTCTGGGGCTGGGGCCAGTGGGGGATGGTATGGAGGAAGGATGGGCTAGGGAAATGTGGTCAGGTGGGTGAAGGTTCTTTAGGTCTTGACCCCACACTGACTCCTCCTCCCTCTCGCTGATACCCCCTCTTCTCCCTTCTCCCCTAAGAGTCCCTGGCTGGCTTCCTCCTGTCCGTCAGTGCCACTTCCAGAGTGGCCAGGCTGCGAATCCCTTTCCCACAGACTGGGACCTGGTTCCTGACCCTGCGCTCCCTGTGCGGGGTGGGGCCTCGGTGAGCGGGGCGGGGCCGGGCGGGGCCGGGCTGGGGAAGGAGCGGCTTGGGACCCCGCTGACGGCCCGGTGTGTGTGCGCGCAGGTACGTGCGGTGCCGGAACGCGACGGCCGAGGTGCGGCTGCGCACTTTCCTCTCCCCCTGCGTGGACGACTGCGGGCCCTACGGCCAGTGCAAGCTGCTGCGCACGCACAACTACCTGTACGCGGCCTGCGAGTGCAAGGCCGGTGAGCGGGCTGGGCTGGTGAGGGAGTCGTGGGCGGGCTTCCTGGGTTGGAGCGGCGGCCTGGACGGGCGGAGGCACCTTGAATTGAGGATGGGTTTGGAGAGAATGGGAGGGCGGAGACCACCCTTCCCTGGCAAGGTCTAGGGCCTGGCGAGAGGCCGCCAGCAGGAGTGACGAACCTGTGGCTGCCTTGGGCCCTCTTCCACCTTCCACCTTGTGCCCTCCCCACTCGCAGGGTGGAGGGGCTGGGGCTGCACCGACAGTGCCGATGCGCTCACCTATGGATTCCAGCTGCTGTCTACGCTACTGCTCTGCCTGAGCAACCTCATGTTTTTGCCACCCGTGGTCCTGGCCATTCGGAGCCGATATGTGCTGGAAGCTGCTGTCTACACCTTCACCATGTTCTTCTCCACGGTATGCGGTGCATCTGTGTCTTCACCGAGTCCTTATGGTGATGGGTGAGGGTCTGCATTCCACCGTGTTTTCCACGGGTTTGGGGATGTCTACGCCTTCATTACATGAGGATGTCTCCCTCCTCACAATGTCTTCTACAGCAGGGTCACGGCACGCCTAGAATATGGTAATTTTTGTAAGGCACATCAGGCTAAATGAACAGGGCTGTTTGTAACTTAAGATAACCAACAGCCGCTTGAAATAGTGTGTGGTCTCCGGCTGTCTCACACACTGAGGGCCACGGGGACCTTTACCTCAATATACTGGCTGTCCTACAGTATGGAATGGTGTCTACAACTTCCCCTTTTCTCCTCCTTATGGTGACAAGAGATCTGTACTTTCTCCTGTGTCTCTGTATGGAGTCTCCACTTTCATCTCTCATGATGTGAGGGCTAGCTATACTGTGCCCGTGTTCTTCATTGTACTGGGCATTTCTGTATCTTTAGCTTCTTCTTTCTTATGGTATGAAAAGGTGTCTCCCCATTCAGTCACCATGGCCTCCTTGATTTCTTATGGGGACTTTTGGAAGACAGAGAGGATCTCTGTAACTGGGTAATTTATAGAACATTCTGGCTCTTGGGATCCTAAGACATTTTATGGACTCAACTATGTCCTGAGACAACATGGGAAGTGGCAGTGTGATATAAAATTCCAGCTCAAAGGAACATATTTTAATGAAGCTTAATATAGTTTTAAATTCTTCCCTTCCCATTACAGAATGTCCACAGTCCCTTCTCTGTATTTTCCCACTCCTCCATAATCAGAAAAGTTCATATTAACCAGCAAGCTTCATAAATAGTATAAGGAAAAGGTAGAGGAGTGAGTCTGCTAATGTGACTTAACCCCCGTGTAGAGTCTCCCCTTGAGATGCTGCATCTAGGGATCTTTTCAGCTCATCTCTGGGCTCTTGGCATCTCATGATATACAGTGCCTGCCTATGAGCCCTGAAAAAATCTTAGATGGACTCAGACTTTCTTCATGTCTTGGCAACAAGAATATCACAAAAACCAATATGTGCTTCCCTTTTGTTCAGCATTAATGGATCAGACATATGTCCAAATTACAAAAATCCTACTTATCATTTAGCAGAAAGTGGAGGGGGATGAATGCTCTGAAACTGAGGGGCATGTTGTCAGGTCCTCCAGGATGTTCATGCACAGGTGAGGAAGAGGAGGCTAGAACCATGCTGTGTAGAGAGACCTTCTCTTTAGCTGGGTGAGAAGAGCACACTCTAATTTTGCTTGGCTGCCCCCTTTTTTAGACCTGCTTTGACAGTGCTTCATTCTATTTTTATAGCAGACACTGTTTCTCTCTCTCTCCTTTTTTTTTTTTTAACTGCCAGATGCCCTTTATACTGTGGCTCACCAAATCCTCTAGCAACAGCTGCTCCACCAGCCTACTCTTGGCTGCATGCAGATCTAATAGGAGTCACAATCAGTAACAGTACCTAAGTGTATCAGGAGCCTGGAACATGTGGGGAGAGTATGTTCGTTCTCCTGCACTTTGCATAAGCATCCTGGACGTTGGCTCTAGAGTGTTTAGTACCAGATGACTCCTTATATTCTGGATACAACGGCAAACCGTCCTTGAAAGAAAAGACCTTTTCCCCAGTTGGAACACCAGAGGAGCGGGCTACAGTGGCTGACGTCACATACAGAGCTTCCACTTTCTTAACGAGGATAATAAGCAGAGCACCTGGCTGGCTTAGTCAGTAGAGCATGCGACTCTTAATCTTGGGCTTGTGAGTTCAAGCCCCATGTTGGGTGTGGAGCTAACTTTTTTTTTTTTTTAAAGATTTTATTTATTTATTTGAGAGAGAGAATGAGATAGAGAGCATGAGAGGGGGGAGGGTCAGAGAGAGAGGCAGACTCCCTGCTGAGCAGGGAGCCCGATGTGGGACTCGATCCCAGAACTCCAGGATCATGACCTGAGCTGAAGGCAGTCGCTTAACCAACTGAGCCACCCAGGCGCCCGGGTGTGGAGCTAACTTAAGAAAAAGAATAGGATAATCAAAAGATCAAGGAAAAGATGCTGGCTCTGCGATATTGCCTGAAGTCTTGCTCTAACTGCTCTTCTTTTTCCACATGGGCCAAAGTGTAGAGCTACTTTCCTGGGCAGGTTCCCCATTGCTCTTCCTTTCTGATTCTTTACTTAGTTTAGACTTCCTTCATTCCTCAACAGTCTCCATTTAAGGACCCACTGGTCATACTGCAGGTAACAGTACCAGGGTGTAGATGACAGTCTTCTTCCCTGTCTTCAAAGCCAGGACAGTCTACAGCTGGAGTGGTGCATCGATTCCTATCCAGGGCATGGGAGCAGGCAGTAGGTTTGTTCTTCAAGAGTTTAGAGTGTAAATATGTAAAATATTTAAAATGCAAAATATGTTGCATAATATGTAACAGGGCCTTTCTCACTGATTGCTGACATCCTGGCTACAAGCACACCTTGCAAGTAATTCTTAGTGGCCCCTGGCAATATCCCATGACTGTTTCCAAGAGGAAATGGAGGCAGATAATAAGGAAATAGCCATAAATTCCATTATATCCTGAGTGCAAATATTCCAGCCACTGCGTAGATTGAATGTATTTGCATTTCTAGTTTTACATTCTGTAGTGCCTGGATACTCCATTTTGAAGCATTAGATGAACTATATAGTTATGTTATAAAAATATGAAATCTCACAGAAAACAATTTAGGTTAATTTTTTAAAAATTACCTCATAAATGTCCAAAGCTGAGGGAGGTGTCAAATTAGATTAAAATTATATTAACAGAAGCTAGTTTGTAGTCTAAATTTGTTTTTTTAAATTTCCCAATCTTTGTGTTATTTCTATCACTTCTTTTTATTTCTGTTGACAAAAGGAATACCAATGTAAAAATCAGCCCATAATTTTCAGTGGATCGATAATGTTGCAAGTTTCTGTCTTTGCTTCTGCATGGAGGAAAGTTTATTAGTGTAGGGATGTTCTCTCATGAGCATACATGGCATAAAGTATGAGATGACTAAAGCTTACTTTAGCTTTGGTAAGCTTACTCTTCTATATATTTGGCACACACTGCACCAAACATATAGGAGAGTATTACAGACTTACAGAGTAGAGTCTCCCAGGTGACACCATAACTGAGCCTTCAGTAGGCCATTCCAGTGTTTCCTTCCGCTGGTTGCTCCTAGGTGTTGGGCAGTGTGTTTACACCAGTGAATTCTGGTGGTGAGTGATTTGCTTTACTTTGTTTACTGTCAGTTGTATCTCCTGGTTAAAGGTGGTAATGAGTGGGGTGCCGGGGCAATGGAGAGTGGATTCTGCTCCATGAATAATAAAGCAGGAGGAAGCACTGCAGGTAGAAGGGACAAATATATACCCAGAATATATGATGATAAGATGCTGTCTTCTCCAGGTTGAGAAGTTTCAGTGAAGTCAGCTGACACAGGGTGTTGGTTGGTTTCCCTAGTGGATTGAGCCCCATGAAGGAGTCAGTGGTGGACTTCACCAGTGATGTTTTTAGACATTCAGCAACGACCATAGCCACATCAGGATTGGTGAAAGGTCCATCATCTTGTTCACCTCACACTGCAATTTTAACTTAACTCTACTCCTGTAGGTTTTCTACAACCTTAAAAATCTCTCTGACCTTTTAGTATGCTTCGACAATAATCAGTCATAGAATACTAGTGCAGTGATTTCTCCCCAAACCTCTCTATTCCAGGGACAATCTCTCCATTATCCCCTGCTCTTTTTTCATTGCAGAGAAATTCCTAGGAGGACAATCAGCCTTCAATTAATTATTCCCTTATATGTGTCTTTGATATTAGGTGATTTAGCTTTGCTTTTTTTCTGATATAGATCTTCTCTTACCTGAGATTGAAGGATTTATTACAAGTCCCTCTTCCAGAAATGTTTGGACATTTCCTTTTATATACTTGAAAGTCAGGCAGATGGAGCAAGCTTGGTGAAGGCTGAAATGTAAAATTAATGTTTTAAAATAAAATCCAAGGGGCGCCTGGGTGGCTCAGTCGTTAAGTGTCTGCCTTCGGCTCAGGTCATGATCCCAGGGTCCTGGGATCGAGCCCCACATCAGGCTCCCTGCTCGGCGGGAAGCCTGCTTCTCCCTCTCCCGCTCCCCCTGCTTGTGTTCCTGCTCTCGCTATCTCTCTCTCTGTCAAATAAATAAATAAAATCTTTAAACAAAATAAAATCCAAATCAGAAAATAGTAATGGGTACTTTAGTAGCTATAGTACTTATATCTGATTTTAGACGTAGAGGATAGTCAATATCCAATAGCTAAAATAGCAAAAGACCAAAATATTGATTTGCCTAGAAACTAAATTAACTCCCATCAATTGATCAGCACATACAAGAGAAAGAAAGAATTGAAAAAACTCAATCTTTTAGGTGTGTTCAGATACTAATTCTAATGCAGATGTGAACTCCCATGAAAAGTCTCTCAGTTTCCCAGTAAGAGCTTACTTTCTCAATTTAATAATATGTAAGAGGGAGCCATGGTTGCTAAACTTGCAAGCCCTTTCAGAAGCTTGGAGTACTCAAAACCTGATCATTCCAAAGCAGTCTCTTCCTGAAGGGACAGCATTCTTTACCTCCAAAGTGAAGGGAAAGACAGAGGATAGGTACACAAGCTTAAGACTTTAAAATTTGAAGGACTCAAACCCAAGGTTTCCCAATGCCAATTAATATCCCTAAGTTTTCTTTTTCTTTTTTTTTCTTTTTCTAAACTCCTAGCTTCTCCCTGTTCTTATGTTATTCGCCTTTTCCAAAGTTACAAATTTTGCAATTTGAATGACTGGATAAACTCTTCAACAGGTTCAAAAGAAACTTAGCAATTTCTTTCTCATCCTTTGTCTCTAGAGACTGAACTTTCGAGTCTGCTTTCCCACTTTGTTGTTGGCAGCTCAGCTCCTGGACTGGATTCTGCTAGTTTTCACGACAGACTTGCTTCAGTTTCCCACCTGCTTTTTTCTAAGGGGGATGCTGTTTGATTAAGGTTGGGGTGTCATGATTTGTGATTTGAGTTCAGGATAGAATGCTCCTTTTCCCTGAACTCATCTTCCTGACCTCACCTCTACCTTCTCATTCTCAGCAGTAATACATCCAAACAGACCAGGTTCTCCCATTTCCATTCTTCCCCAAAGTTACAGAGACCCTTGCTGCCAGACGTGAATGACCTGTGATATTGCTCAGCTACCTCTTTCCTTCGCTGTGGGCTAGATCTCCCTGCCCTCCACCCACAGTTAAGGATACGCCTCTGGAGCGCCGGGCTGCCTGTCTCACTGAGGTCTGTAAGGCCATCTCTCTTCTGGACTCAGAGCCCCCGTGACTTAGGGTTGCTTTTCAATAGAATGATGAAGAAATTGACCTGGGCTGAAATAGTACCTAAAGGCTCCCTTCAGTCAAGCATCAAGCCACTTCCAACGCCATGTTTGGGTGGTACAACACGTAGCCTTCCTGCCCCGGTTTCAGTTCAGTCTGATGAACTTCAGTCCAACCGTGGCAACTCCAGCAGCTTGTTCCTGCTATCAAGAGATGCCCTCAGCAGCCATGGCTCTCTAAGGACCAGGTGTAACACGCAGGGGACAGAGATAAAGCAGATTGAGTCACAGGATCTTAAGAAACTTTTTTGATCCTGTAAAATCTGCTGGTATGTCTCAAGGTCAGCTCCAATGAGTAGATTTTCACCAAGTTTATATAGGTCAAAAACCTTTTCTCTCCCATTATAGCATTTTAATTTTCTTTTTTTCATCACTATAACAGTCTGTTCTTCCTGACATGGAGCAGGGGCAATATCAGGTGATGGGGGGAGTGAGCATGCCACTGTGATGTTTGTTCTTGGTCTGGAGTTGTTTGTCCTCATAGGTCTTACCCAGTATCTTGTCTTGGGGTGGGCTCATAGGGATACATGATCCTGTCATCTTCACACCAAAGATAGTCTTAAAACCATACATGTTCTTAGTGTTTGCCATCAATAAAAAAATCACATAAATTCTACACAGCAGTTCAGAGAAAGGTGACAGCAAATGTTCTAAGGTAAAAAGAACTCAGGTCATTTTTGGGTAGCCCCTTTTACAAGTAAGGGAACACAGGATGCTCGAGGCCATGATAGCATTGTCCAGAGAGGCACAGGAGTTGAGACCACAGACCAAGGGGGGCTGACTGCAGACCTTGGTTCCTTAATTGGGGTGCCCACTATAGTCTCATCCAATCCCACCTGTGTCCCCTGTGCCTCCTTTGTAGCTCTTCTTTACCGTCTTTCCCACAGTGGAGGATAGGTGGGCATTCTCCCTTCCCTAGTTTCTTCTCCATGCTGTAAAGTGACATGCTTTTCTCCATGGCCCAGAGACTGCCTTTTTTCTTACTTCCCTCCCCCCCCACGCCTCCACCCATGACATTGGGTGGGAGGGGATGAAGAGGGCCAGTTAGTGTAAGGCCTGAAGATGAATCCTAACTTAGAGTCTGAGCTATCAGGGGAGACTGGGATATGCAGGGGAGGCTTAGGGTCTGGGTTGGCCAAAAGAGCAGCGTCTAGCCCCATAGCTTGGGCCAGGGATGGGCATTATAGTGGGACCCATGGTGAGCATGAGAAGTAGGGGAAGATTGGCCTCAGTTTGATGGACCTGGAATCCCCACTGGCCTGGTGCTCTCCATAGTACATTCCATAAGCAGGAAAATCAGGAAGGTAAGGACAGGGTCAGGGCTGGCAGATACGTAGGGCTTGTGAGGCAGACCAGGCTTCCCTACCACATTCTTCTCAGGAGCAGGGAGTCAGGCATGTCCCAGTTATGCTCAGCCTGTGACCTCTGACCTCTGCTTTTCTGACAGCAGGCACACCACCCTCGTGACCTCTCTCTCCTGTTCCATGGACTGGACTGTTGACCCAAGTTCTCTCAATGCCTGTCATTTCTTCCTCCAGTTTTACCATGCCTGTGACCAGCCAGGCATTGTGGTTTTCTGCATCATGGACTACGATGTGCTGCAGTTCTGTGATTTCCTGGGCTCCTTAATGTCCGTGTGGGTCACTGTCATTGCCATGGCTCGTTTACAGCCTGTGGTCAAGCAGGTCAGTCCAGAGTGGGCCCTGGGGGACAACTGTAGGCAAAGTCTACTTGAAATTCACTCCCACCTCTCCCTGGGGGCATTGCCAAGTGCTTCCCGCCCACCCGGCCCAGACCCTGGAGTCCTCTTTCTCCAGGTGCTGTATTTGCTGGGGGCTATGCTGCTGTCTATGGCTCTACAGCTTGACCGGCATGGACTCTGGAACCTGCTCGGACCCAGTCTCTTCGCCCTGGGGATCTTGGCCACAGCCTGGGTAAGGTTGGGAGGGCTTCGGGAGGGGGGCGTCCCGACAGGACTTGGGTGCAGGGCCCTAAGGATCTGGTCCCCAGTTTAAGATGGGCTTGGACCTTGTCATCATCACTGTGCTGTTCGTGGTGCCCACTCCAGACTTGGCAGGTGCCTTCAGGTCATGACCAGGGCTCCAGGGAAGCCTGAGAATAACCAGTTCTGGCTTGGGTTCCAAGGCCTTGTATTCCTGAGTCCCACTTCTCTGCTTCCCCCAGACAGTACGCAGCGTCCGCCGCCGGCACTGCTACCCACCCACGTGGCGCCGCTGGCTTTTCTACCTGTGTCCTGGCAGCCTTATTGCAGGCAGTGCTGTCCTACTCTATGCTTTTGTGGAGACCCGAGACAACTACTTCTACATTCACAGCATTTGGCATATGCTCATCGCTGGCAGTGTGGGCTTCTTGCTGCCCCCACGTGCCAAGACTGACCACCGGGTCCCATCTGGAGCCCGGGCCCGGGGCTGCGGTTACCAGCTGTGCATCAATGAGCAGGAGGAGCTGGGCCTTGTGGGCCCAGGGGGGGCCACTGTCAGCAGCATCTGTTCCAGCTGAGAGGGGCTTTGGGCCTGGCCCTTGGGGAACATGAACCCTTCCTAGGGGCAGAGAGCCCTTCCTGGGAGTGTGGAACCCTCCCTGGATAAGAGACAGGTTGTATTTTTGAGGACATGGTGTCTTTCTTAAGGACGTGGAGCTCTTCTAGGGACCTGGCGCACTTCCTGAAGGCCTGGAGTCTTCCTGCATCCATGGAGTCCTTCTTAAGGACTGGAGCCTGTGCAGGCCCCTAGAGCCCCTCAGGACCAAGGTGTCCCTCCTAGGGGTGTGGAGTCCTTCCCAGGGATGTGGAGCCCCCCTAAGGACATGGATTCCTTCCTAGGGAGACAAAGCCCTCTCAGGACGTGGCATCATTCTCGAGGAAATGGAGTCCATCTTGGGGAAACTGAGTCTCCAGATCTTCCCAGCATCTCAGCAACTCTGGCCTCAGGCTTTCTTCCCAAGGCAGCATCTGGGCCGTGCCGTGCCATGCTGTGCTGTGCTGGGAGGGGGATTGGAGGACGGCTGGGGCTGGGGCTGGGTTGATGGTATCCTGAGTTGATGCAGGTGGAGTCTGGTGTGTCTCCAATGAAGTATTTGCTGGTTCTGTGCTGCCTTTTTTCCTGGGGCCAAGGGTGTGGGGAGGAGAGGGAAAGAGAGGGTCTGAGGAAATCAGCGGGGGTGGTGGGAGCCCAGCTGGAATGAGCTGCTAGAGCTTTTGCCGGAGTCTTTTGCCCCATCACGGCAGGCTGCAGCCCCTGGGAGTAGGGAGTTGTGTGTGTGTATATGTGTGTGTCTGTGTGTGTGTACGTGCTGGGAGGATTTAAGTTAGTAAGACAGACCTCCCTTGTGCCCACACCCAACAGGAAAGGAAGCTGAGGTCTCAGGAAATTGGACTAGCAGGTACAAGTCACAAATATGCAAGAAATATCGCAAGAATGTAGCTTCTATTTTGAGCCCCCGTTTTGCCTGAGTGTCATCTTTTTTGCCTGAGAGACATCCTTTGTCATTTGGGATTTCTTCTCTTTCTACAAGGGTCACAGCTGAGTCTTGAGGATCTTAGATAATGGGAAGATGTTGGGAGGTTGTTTTCTGGTTACTGGGGTCCACACTGCACCTATCTCCTGAGAGTTCCATCATTCCACCTGGTCCCCAGTCAGCGGCGTAGGCAGGCCATCCCAGAGTGCTTTCTTGTTCCTGTCTGCATAACCATTTTCAGTGCTGAGGCCCTCCCCGACTTCTGTGCTACCCACAAAGACCTGTGAGGCCTGGGCTGCCCAGACACACCTTGAAGCCATTTCTACTCTGGCGGCCTGCTCTGGGTGTTACTTGGCCAGCAAGGCGTGAATTGCTCCATCTTTCAGTCCTACAAACCTGTCCAGGGGTTTGGCGTAGGGAGTGGGGCTCAGGGCCCCTTCTTCTTGGGGCCCTTCTGTGCTAGTGCTCTTATTGCATCCCCTCCTCTCCTTTTCCCTAGCTTAGAGCATTAATCTGGAGGTGGGGAAACCTCCCTTTTACTTAGGTTTTTTCCCAAATCTTATCTGGGCCTTCAGCCTCTCCTGTTAAGACTTCAGAACCTAGGCTTTTGAAGCTCAAAAGCCAGGAAAAATCCCTTTGTTCTCTGCTTTCTGCAATTCTGTCTCTTCCTTGGGGCCCTGAGCAGAGTGATGTGGCCGACTGAATGGTGAGCCAGGAGGTGTGGGTTTGGTGTTTGTTCTGGCATCAGAAATATTAGTCCTTCATATTAGGATGTATAGAGTCAGGTCACTAGGATGCATAAACCCAAATAGCTGGGATTCAGGACAGAGTCAGCAGAGTACAGAAGGCACTAAGGAGGGACATAGAGCTGGGACAGACCTCACCCTGCTAGGAGGGGTCAGAAGGGTTTTCTGGAAGAGGGGGGCAGATTTGAGTAAGGATTGAATGAGTTTCTGTAATGCCAAGATGTTGGGAGAGGGTTCTCTCTGGTCACCCTGTCCATATTGTATTCATCCACTGAGATTTCTCTCATTCCAAGTGGTCCCCAGTCAGTAAAGCACTTAGGACACAGAATAATGCTTGGCCTGGTCTGTGGTCCAGTACATATTAGCTAAAGGTCAAGAAGCATCTGGACATGAGAGGGAAGAGCAAGGGGGAGACAGAGGCAGGAAAGACTGATACTTGCTGGGGAACTGGGAATAGTTCGGGGGGCCCTGGACCCAGAGAGTGAGTGTGGGTGGAGTAGGCCTGAGGCAAGCAGCTGGGCTGAGGTTGGATGGAGAGGTGGGGTCTGGTTTTTATCCCATGGGAAATGAGCCATTGAAAGGATTTAAGCAGGAGAGTGGCATGATCTGATTGGTGTTTTGTTTTTTGGATTTTTTTCTGATTGGCGTTTTGACGGCCTGTGCAGAGGGTGGATTCTGAAGGGAGTTTGCAGGATCAAAGTGCGGTGACATAGCTGTTGCAGTATTAGAGAGAGAGAGAGGGAGAGCTTCTTGAGGAGGCAGTGTCAGTAGAAAGGAGGGGACCCATTTAGGATTCTCATGACTGACTGGATGTGTGGGGCGGTGATGGTCCGAGAAAAGGAAGGCAAATCTCTTGTGGCTCTTGGGTTGACTGTAGGATAGTGTGGCAGCCATTAGACCATTCACACATTTCTCAGTCTTCCTGCTCCTTCCTGACAAATGTGACCGTGCTTCGCCTGCCCCTTGATGTTGGCTGTGGTACGTGCTTGTGTTGGCGGATGAAGTAGAGGTGGAAGTGAAGCTCAGAGAGCCAGTGCAGGCTTTGTTATGGTGACCAGTAATGTTCCAGATGGTGGCTGCTTATCATCCTGACGCCCCAGGGATGAGGACAGTGATTCAGAGCAGACCCCACCCACCCAGTCAACTGCTAATGGACCTGCAGTGAGAATGAGAAATAAACCCTTGTGGGTTTCAGCCCCTGCAATTTGAAGGCATTACCATGATGGACCTAGCCTGCTGTGCATTATAGAGCTGAAGAGCAACAGGGAGGGTGGGACATTTTCCTGGAGAGCAGGTCTCCGCACAGCAGGGCTATGGCAGCCGCTTTCACCTCTGCGTTCCTCAGGCTGTAGATGATGGGGTTCAGTGAGGGTGTCACGACCCCATAGAACAATGCAATAATCTTATCCAGGTCAGGGTTCTTGGCCTTGGGCTTGAAATACATGAAGGAGATGGTTCCATAGAAAACCACCACCACTGTGATGTGGGCAGAGCAGGTGGAGAAGGCTTTGGGCCGGCCTGCAGCAGGGGGCACCCTAAGGATGGTAGCAAGGATGAAAATGTAGGACAGGCAGATGAGCAGGAGCGGGGCCAGCGTCAGGACCGCTGTGGCCACCATTAACATCAGTGCGTTGAGAGAGATGTCCCCACAGGCCAGTTTCAGCACTGCCAAGATCTCACAGAAGAAGTGGTTGATGATATTGTGGCCACAGAAGGGGAGGCTCCAGGTGAGAAGGGACTGCAGCAGTGAGTTGGCAGAGCCTGTCCCCCAGCTCAGCACTGCCATCCGCACACATGTCTGCCCTCTCATGATCTCTGGGTACCCAAGCGGCTGGCAGATAGCCACATAACGGTCATATGCCATCACGGCCAGGAGCAGGCACTCCGTGGAACCCAGCGCCAGGGTCAGGTACATCTGCAGGGCACAACCAGGGAAGGAGATGGTCTTCCGGGCTTCCAGGAAGTCGACCAGCATGAGAGGCACAAAGGAGGATGTGCCACAGATGTCCATGAGGGACAGGTTGCTGAGAAAGAAGTACATGGGGCTGTGCAGGCGGGGGTCCAGCACGCTCAGCCCTATGAGGAGGGAGTTCCCCAGCACATTCACGGAATAGATGGCCAGGCAGAGCACAAACAGGACCATCTCGAGGTTATGGTGCTCGCGGAGTCCTAGCAAGACGTATTCGGTCACAGCCGTCCAGTTTGCCATCTCATTTTCCCTCCTTCCTGTCTAGACCACACAGGTGTCAGAAAAAGCTCTTGCTGGCCTGGAAACCAAGCAACCTGACCTGGGGCAGGTCATCTCTGCCTCTGCGATTAAGTTTCACCATCTGAATAATGAGAGGATTGGACTTCAGGCCTGCAAGCTGGCCCTCTCAGCTCTGCAGCTCTGATGTAACTTAGGGAGATGAGACGCATTCTAGCCCCCTAGGATCCTCATTGTTCTCCCCATGGTGGGGGCAGGGGAGACAGGAGAGGAGGACTCATGTTTGGCACATGCTGTTGTAATCTAAAGAGTTCTTGGCTGTTAAAGGAAGCTTCTTTTCTAGGTTATGACTCCATATGGCTGAATTATGCTCATGGTCTTTTAGATTCATTCATTTGCTGAATGTGCTTTGAATACTTATTCTGTGCTAGATCTTGTTTAGGTGCTGGGGTACAGCAGTAAGAAAAATAAGTGGACAGAAACATACCATACCTATCATAAGGCTGTCGTCCCTTCCCTGAACTAGGTGATATGAGCTCTTGCCGGCCCATGGGTGATGGATGATGCTTACCTGGTGGTTCTTTTGGGCATTAAGGATCAATCATCCTCACTCCACAGGATGTGTAAGCTTGAAGTGCAAGACCATTGTTGATTTTTTTTCCCTTTCCCTCATCTGTTGATTTTTTTTTTAAAGATTTATTTATTTATTTTAGAGAGACAGAACATGAGCAGGGGGAGGGGCAGAGGGAGAGAGAGACAAGCAGACTCCCCACTGAGCGGGGAGCCCAATGTGGGGCTCGATTACAGGATCCTGAGATCATGACCTGAGCCGAAATCAAGAGTCAGACTCTTAACCGACTGAGCCACTCAGGCAGCGCCCTCATCTGTTGATTTTTAAAAGAACCTACAAGAACATATATATTCCAGTGGTCATGCAAGCCAAATGACTCCCTTCTTGGCCTCCATATTGCCTTGTGGGATAAATGATATTGGCAGTGATGTCACAGGAGGAGGGAAAACCAGGTTCTAATCTGGCAGGGGCACTGACAGTCAGTGACTAGTTTTAAAAAGAAGGGGGAGTCAGGGAGGGCCTCAGTTTTCTCCCAGGTGGCTTTCATTGCTCTTCTGAGCTGGTCTCACTGCCTCCTGGGGAAATGCCAGTGTCAGGCAGTCACCGGAGGGGCCCTAATGTCCCCAAGGCACGGCAGTCTTGTTAGGCAGGAAGGCTGTCTTATGGACCGGGTGACCCCTGGTCTAAAGCAGAAACAGGAGCTGAGTATGAAATTTAACATACAGAAGATACAGTCACCTCCTCATTCCTGGGTCGGCTGAGAGGCTGATGTCCTGTGACAGCACTGGAGCCCTGTCTGTCCTTTAGGGCTAGATTTTCCTCCTCGTTCCTCCTCTCCGGTGCATCTAGCATTTGTTAGGGGCTGGTGGCCTCACCCTCTGCTGAATAAACCTTGTCTTTTCCCAGTGCTACATCTTGCCCAAGAAGTTCCCTTTTATTTTGTTTTGTTTTAAAGTTTATTTATTTTACAGAGAGAAAGAACGAGCAAGCAGGGGGAGGGGCAGAGGGAGAAAGAGAATCCTGAAGCAGACTCCCTGCTGAGCGTGGAGCCCAACTCGAGGCTCGATCCCAGGACCCTGAGATCATGACCTGAGCTGAAATCAAGAGTCACCACCTTAACTGGCTGAGCCACCCAGGTGCCCCAAGAAGTGCCCTTTTAGAGGCATGTCCTCCCTTCCTTACCCCCGTGGGGGCTTCCTGCTCGTCCCTCAGAGCACAGTTCCATCTCTCTGTCTCCCCTCTCCCTCCTGCTCCTTGAGGGGTTACCTGCTCCCTTCTTGCACTCCCTTAGCCCTTGGCTGTCCCTGTGTTCATCTACTGTGTGCTGTGTGACCATCTCCTCTACTACACTTGAGAGCAGGACCCTGTCTCCTTCCTTCCCACACTCCCACAGTGCGTGCTGCCAAGAGCAGTCACTCAACAGATACTCAAGCTTTGCACCCCAGTGTCAGTGACAGTACTAATTAGCTGTGTGAGGTTGACTAAGTCACGTGGCTTCTCTGAGACTCAGTGTCCCTTTGAAAAATGGAAGTGCTGTGTAGCTCAGAGGAGACACACCCGCAAAGGTGCTTGTGAGCCGCCCAGCACTACCTGTTGTCTGAGGATCCTGAGCAAAGACTGCATATCTTCAGCCACAGGGCTCCTGCTGGATCTGCGCTTGCCACCTCCCCACAAGCTCCAGCTTCTGTCATGACCCCCTCCATCCCCAGAGCCTGTCACTTTCCCCTCCTCCGGCCTGAATCAGGGGGATTATTAAGGGGGTTTCTGGAGTGTACGGGGGCCGCGGATTAATCTGGGTTAGCACCTGACTTTAAATCTTAAACACGCGAACAACTAAGGGTAAGGTTTCTCTTGCTGAGGTTTGGCAAAAAGAGAATTGCCTGAGTGTGATGGTGGTTCATTCATTCACTCATTAAACAAATAGTTGTGGGACACTTACAATGTGCCAGGCCCTGTGCTAGGAGGTGGGAATACAGCAGAAGCAGATGTGGTTTCCGCCCTAACGGAGTTTACACTCATTCCCTCATGCTAGGTGAACTTGGACACGTCCCTTTCTCTCTCTGGACTTTAGAAACTGGAGGTTCTCTTTGAGAACTTGGGATTCAAAGACAAAGTAAAACTTGAGATCTGTAAAGAAGTTAAAAGGAAGCACCTTTTCTAGGTTAGGACTTCATGTGTCTAGATTATGCCCACAGCATTTCAGATGCAAGTATAAGGGTTTGATCCTTATTGGGTGTGTTATTACAAAATGACCTATATTAACCTCGAATTCTGACACCTGACATAGGGGTGTGTGTGTGTGAGGGGGGGGTAGGTCTCAAGTAGGTGAGAGGTGGGAAACCACCTGTCTCCATATTTCTCTTCCTTGCCCTTGTCTCTAACAAAAAGACCAAGACGGAATGGCAGAGGCATTTAAGGGCTTTTGAGAACAGGCTCCGGCCTGCCCCCTTGCCTCATCTCCCTTCCATCCCTTCACGTACACCTGCTCCAACCTCACCAGACCACCTCCCATTAATGGTCAAACCCACACACTCCTGTCTCGTCCCTCTTCTCATGTTCTTTCCTCAGCCTGGAGCGGCCTTTCCCTTCCACTCATCCTTCGAGGCTCGGCTCTCACACCCCTTCTCTGCAGTCTGCTCAGATGCCCTCGTAGGACTGACCAGCCCAACAACACGATGCTCACAGCTCTAAGCACAGGGTAATCGCATTCTGCCTTGCATGGTAGTGTGTGGTCTCTCTCTCAATAGACTGAGCTCTCGTAATCAGAGGCTTGTGTCCGATCCATCACTGCTGCCATTGAGATCCCGTACTGTTCCGCTGCCCTAAATCCGCCCCCCCCCACAGCCCAGTCCCAGACGTCTCGCCTTGAGAGCACCTCCCCCACCAGCACACACAGCAAGCGAGGAAGCAGCTGTTGTCATTGCTGGAGAAGAGCAGGGGGGGTGGGGGTGGGGGTACCGGGCTTCTCCCTGCTCTTTCAGAGGAGCTACTCAGAGAGGAGTGGGTCTCCTGACAATTTAAGAGTCTGATCATCACACATTCATGGAAATTAGAACCCGCTCATGGAGCCACAGGCTTATGGCCCCAAAGAAACAAGTCTGTGTCTAGGAAATACCATGCTTCCGGGTAACCGACAGCTTTGACTCTGCACCCTGGGCATGGGAGGGGACGTCAGGGAGCAGCTGCTGTTCCCTGGGTGCGTCAGTGACGATGAACTAGGTTTTGCTGCAGTAACACACATCATCTTAGTGGCTTACCATGACGACGGTTTCTTTCTTTCTCATGCTCCATGTCCTTTGTAGCTTTTCAGGGGTCTCTGTTCCATGTCGAGCTGCTCAGAGACCCTGGCTGAGGGAGCCTCCGCCATCCCGACGTCACCAGCTGTTATGGCTGGGGAAGGACACACTAGGTGTTCATACCAGCAGTTACATGCCCCGCCCCAGAAGTGGCATGGGTCACATCCGCCCACACCCCACTGGCCCTGGGTGATCCTACCACACGCCAGGAGAAGGAAAACCTGAAATCTCCTGAATATTTGGGTATGAGGTGGTTTCCCAATACACTCGGAAAACCACTCTAACTTCTATCCGCCAGTGTCTCACACGTGAGATAGCAAACCGAGTGTCTCTGAGAATAATTGTCGAATTCCACACCCCAGTTTTAGACCTCCTGAAAGGTAGGGTGATGCCATGAACCAGGACTGGGAGCCGTGGGACAGGAGTGAGGGATCCAGGTTTGATTGTTGCCTTTGTTCCGATTCTGCTGTATGACCTTGGTCAGATTTCTCCTGTGAATGGAACCACTCAATTAGGTGACCTCTAGTACCCTGTCACCTCTAAAACATTTCCTCACTCTGTCTAGCAACTTCCAACCCTGAAGTCTGACAGACCCAGGGTTACTCTGCAAGGTAAATATTATATCAATTTCATTGGCTGGCGAATCTAGTTTGAACCATTTAATATTTTATTTTAGGCTTCACAAATTATTTTAAAAGAAAGGGGATGGGCATAAAAGGACCGAAGCTTCTGTTGCAATTTCCCAGACATGCCTGGATCTAGGATTCCCGCTTGACCACTTCCTTGCTGGATGGCAGAGCAGGTGAGTGTGGGCTTTGGAGTCAGACCCACCAGGGCTCAAGTCCCAGAGCTGCCACTTGCTAGCAGTTTTCCCAGCCTCACCTCCCTTACCTGTAAAGTAGGGATAAGCATAGTGTTTCCTTGTGGGGTTGTTTTGAGGATCCAGTGAGATGAGGCGTGCAGAGCTCTTAGCACAGAGCCTGGCACATGGTAAGTAATCAGTACGTGGTAACCAGTACCGCTTATATCATTATGTCCTCTTTCACAAGCAGATATTCTAGTTTTCATATGTTTAAAGAAGATTTCATGAGAATAGTCCACAGGCTAGATGGATTGTCCTTACCTCATCGTACCTATTGCCCAGTGGCATGAGCACATGCAGGTAGCTGGAGCAGGCTGCCAGGTGTCCTGACCCAGGGCTTGGGAGAGCAGAGCCCGCAAGTGCTGAGCTCATTACCGGCAGACACACTGTGCTGGGATGGACCAGGGCCAAAGCCTCAAGGACAAGCCTCCTGGTCCCCTGCCACATAGCTCTCTGCTCCGTGCCCTGGGGAACCTCTCAGTCCCTGCCCAATTTAAAGTTCAGACTCTGGAACTACGCAAGTTTGTGGGTTTGGCAGCTGTGGGGCTCAGAGACCCCAGGATTCTTGTGCTTCCCTGGGAGGGCCTGGCTGCGGTGAGATGGGTGCAGGAGAAACACTGGACAGAATCTGATCGGGTCTCGGTGCCACCCTGCCACTTGAATCCGAGGATTGAAGTCTGGGGCCCCCTGTCCTAGGCATGGGTGTCTTGGTCTGTGAGAAGGGGTGTCTCCATTCGAGAATGTTGTGAGGATCGGGACTCATGAAAGTTCCGGAAAGCGCATTGCTGTATAGAGTATGAGGCCACGAGCACTTGTGAGGGACTTTAAGTCAGGGATTCAGTCAGGTGCATGGGTCTCTACAGGTTTCCTCTCCCTTCCCTTCATAAAGACTAACAACCAACACAGTTGTTGTAAAGACTACAACACAGCCTTAAATAAATCAGCAGCAGCGACAGAGTTTTCCCTTATACTATGATTTGTCCTTCTGAATCTTTATCAAGATCCCAGGTCAAAGTCAAACATTCGAAGACTATTACCACTTGTTTTCTCCGTGCTCGTGGAATAGTGCCCTCTTGCCACCCGTGGACACCTGGAACTCAACACCATCCCCCTGCATCTCTCATCTTCCCCATCTCTGTCTCAGCGGGCGGCAAATAAGCCAGAAACACAGGCTGCACCTCACAGGCCTCTCTCTCCGTCTTCCAGCTCTGCAGTCATCTGCGTATCCCAAGTATTTCTCAGCTGCCCTCTCTCTGCTTGGTTGCCCAGTGGGTCAGGTTGCCCCTGACTTATTCTCATCCCCACCGTGAGAGCCTGGAATAGGGCAGCAGCTTCCTCACTTCCTGCCTCTCGGGCTGGAGGCCTTCTCATCAGTGCTCTATTCTGGAACCAGGTGATCTTGCATTTCTTAAAAATGTATCACCTTATTTTTAAATTCAAAACTAGAACATGACTTTTAAGTTCAAAGTCATGTTCATATTATATAAATATGGGAAATATTGGCATTAGTTAAATAAGAAAACAATTGGCTCTAACCGATCAATCCTATTTAACCCCACCACCCAGTGGAAACAACTCTTAATATTTTGTTCTGGTTTCCCAGGATTTTTTGCATATATACTAACTCATAAATCCATAACAAAAATACTTTAAAAAATAACATTGGGATCATTTTCTATTAATTACATTGTGAGCATTTCTCATTATCAAATATTCTTCAGAAAATAAGAATTTTTTGAAGGCTGTATCACATTCTATCATTGGACACCACCAGTATTTATTGGACATTCTTCTATGATCGGATGTTAAGATTCTTACAACTTTTTGTTACTATAAATAATGCTATGATTGATGTCCTCATACATATCCTTGTTCATAAATCTTTATGCTTCTAATGATCATATTAGACCAGTTCTTAGAAGTAGATGGGTTAGGTCATAGAGTCTAGCAATTTTTAAAGTCTTTTGGATCATACTTCCAACTGACCTTTCAGGAAGTTTATATTAACTTATTGCCATCCCCACCAGCAGCGTAGGGCATTACTTCTTCACTGCACCTTCATTACCAACAGAAATTTAAAAAATTCTTCACCAATTTCATGGGTGGAAAATGGTATCTAATCAGTGAGCTATTTAAAAGTAAATGTGATTGGGGCGCCTGGGTGGCTCAGTCGTTAAGCGTCTGCCTTCAGCTCAGGTCAGGATCCCAGGGTCCTGGGATCGAGCCCCGCATCGGGCTCCCTGCTCAGCAGGAAGCCTGCTTCTCCCTCTCCCACTCCCCCTGCTTGTGTTCCCCCTCTCGCTGTGTCTCTCTGTCAAATAAATAAATAAAATCTTTAAAAAAAAAAAATGTGATTGTAAACCCCAGTGCCCACATGATAACGTCCAAACTCCTGTCGTGGCCTCAAAGCTGGACATCTTGGTGGGTAGGCTTCAGTGTGGCTTGGTCAGAGAGGGTAGAGCTTCAGGGGCCAGGCTGGGCTTCTCTCCTACCAACATGGGAAGCAGAAAGAGGGACTGGAGCGGAACTGAGGGTCCTGTCAAGGACTGGGCTTCCCCGTGGCAGAGGGCAGGAGAGCTGGACTGCTTCTTGGAGGCCGAGGCCCGTGTCCCCATCATATAGATGGTGCAACTGAGGCAGGGTGGGGGCAGGCAGGGAAGGAGTTACTCTGTGAATCTGCATCCGTTTCTACTGTGTGCTCGCTGAGTTGTCAGAAAGGAAAGCTGGGAAGAGGCTGAGCACCAGGAAGGGGCAGCTCTGGCAGGATCCCTGTGATGAGGTACGGAAGGGTAAAGCAAGTCTCCCCAAAGCGAGGTGAGGCCTGGATGCTGGGCTGGGAGGCATGGCAACAGCTGCTGTTCCTGCTCAAGACCGATGTTGGGAACACAGGTCCTGGGCTGCTCAGCGTGACTGGTACCCCCGTGGCTGGACCACTCTGGGGATCATGGACTCTGGACCTCATCACTGCCTCTACTGTCACCTTCCAGGGCACCAGGCCATGCCTGTCATCTTTGAACTCTGTCTCCGCTCTGCTCAGGTTCAGGAAGGACGCCAGGCTCTGCCACCATCTCCCCTACACTGTTGTGTTCATGTATTTATTTACAAAACCTATGGGGGGCCTACGGTTGGGCAGGGCTGGACCTTGGGACAGAGTAGATTCTGACCATCCCTGCTTTTACAGTAACACTGAAAATAAAACAGGAGGAGCTCAGTGAGGAGGCTTCCTGGGGGAGGTGGCATTTGAGCTGGGCCTCGAGGGTCCGGCCATCCTGGAGGTGTGTGCTGGGTGTGGCTGCCTTGTGGCAAGCACAGAGCTGGGCAGGGCTGGGCAACACTGGGGCTCACACCTGGCTGGGCAGGTGGGAGAATGTGGGGCAGAAGGTTGGGGGTTAGTCAGGACCAGCAGGGCCAGCTTGTGAAGGCCTAGAATGCCCCACGGAGGAGCTTACACTTTGTCCTGAGAGTAGGGGGAGCTTTTGGGGGCTTCAATCAGGAGAGGATGTGATCACATTTGCCTTTCACAGAGGTCCCTCTGGATGCCCCAGGGAGGATAGAGTGGAAGGACCACTAGGAGTGTGGTCTTGAGGCCAGCCAGGAGCTGGCGTGAAAGTACAGGAAGTGATGTGGAGAGCCGGCCAGGGTGATGCCAGGGAAGGAGCTGAGGGTGCTTTGTGAGCAATTCTCGTGCAGCATCAGTGGGACTCGGTGCTGCCTTTCTGGGATGAAGATTCCAGACTCAGCCCTGCACCCCACCTGTCCTCACTGTAGGACTATGAAGGCCTCACCTACTAATCTGAAGATCCCAGGCCTCCCTCACTGGGACGTCCAACTCCTACCCCACACTTTCGTGGCAGCCTCCCTCACCTCCTTGTTCCTCAAGCTATAGATGACAGGGTTCAGCATGGGCGTGACCACGGCATAGAGGACCGTGAAGACCTCATCAGAGATGCGGGCCTCCTTGCTCTTGGGTTTCAGGTACATGAATATGACGGTGCCGTAGAAAAGCATCACCACAGCCAGGTGCGCCGAGCAGGTGGAGAAGGCTTTGCGGCGTCCGGCAGCCGAGGGCACTCTCAGGACGGTGGCCAGGATAAGTGTGTAGGACAGGCAGACGAATGCCAGGGTATAGGCAGCAGCAGGATGGCCCCCACCAGCAGGAAGACCTCACTGACAGAGGTGTCACTGAATGCCAGCTTCAGCACTGCCAGGATCTCACAGGTGAAGTGACTAACCACATCGTGGCCGCAGAAGGACAGCCTCATGGCAATGACTGTCTCAGTCACTGACTTGAAGAGACACAGGACCCAAGCGGTTCCCACCAACGACAAGCAGAGCCGGGGGCTCATGAGCACGGGGTACCTGAGTGGCCGGCAAATGGCCAGGTAGCGATCATAGGCCATGATGGCAAGAAGCAGACACTCTGTGGAGCCTGTGGAGAGGCTCAGACACGTCTGGATTGCGCAACCAGTAAAGGAGATAGTCTTCTGGGCTGACAGGAGGTGGACCAGCATCAGAGGCACAAAGGTAGACGTGTAGCAGATGTCCAGGATAGAGAGGTTGCCCAGGAAGAAGTACATGGGCGTGTGCAGGCGGACATCCAGGACACTCACTGCCACGATGGCTGTGTTCCCCAGCAGGGTCACCAGGTACGTGGTTGAGCACAGAGGGAAGAGCAGGTGCTCCAGGGCTGGGTAACCAGAAAATCCTTTCAGAAAGAACTCAGAGATCTCTGTCCTATTGACCCGCTCCATATTGCTGTGCTCAAGGGGGCACATGGCTGGGATGGAGGGAAAGAGGGTGCAGGGTGGTGGGAGAGCCCACAGAGCCTCTTTTGGGTGGGGGTATGTTGCTAGGGCCTTTTCCAGTTCTTACACACACTCTGTTCTTGAGTTTGGGCAATCTGTGCACTTCTGGGCTGCAATTCATCCATGTGAAAAGTGAGCATTGATCTGGATCAGCATTTCCCTGAGAGAGTGTTAATGAAAATGTAAGTAGGCAATCTGAAAAATTAATTTGAGACAACATTAAATTAATTGAAAGTAAACAAAGCCCTTTACTGCAGGACTTCTTATATGCCAATGTGATTTGTGACCTTCCAAAAGTGGTATAGGGCAAGTAATTCCCAAACTTACTTGACCATGGGTCCTCTTTTTATATTAATCTACAGCAGATAAGTATTCTTTTTTTTTTATAAATTTTTTTTTTAAGATTTTATTTATTTATTTGAGAGAGAGAATGAAAGACAGAGAGCACGAGAGGGAAGAGGGTCAGAGGGAGAAGCAGACCCCCCGCTGAGCAGGGAGCCCGATGTGGGACTCGATCCCGGGACTCCAGGATCATGACCTGAGCCAAAGGCAGTCGCTTAACCAACTGAGCCACCCAGGCGCCCTCTTTTTTTTTTTTTTTTTAAGATTTATTTACTTATTTATTTGAGAGTGAGAGAGAGTATGTGCACAAGAGGGGAGGGGCAAAGGGAGAGAGAGAATCTCCAGCAGACTTCCTGCTGAGCATAGCTGGACACAGGGCTCAGCTCACAACCCTGAGATCATGACCTGAGCTGAAACCAAGAGTCACCCTGACACCCCTACAGCAGATAAGTGTTCTACTAACATAGTTTGGGGGAAAATCAGAGGTCCTCAAATCTTAATGTGTAGCAGAATCACCTGGAAAGTTTGTTAAAACACAGATTGCTGGGCTCCATCCCCAGAGCTTCTGACTCAGTTTGTGTGGGTGACGCTGCTTCTGCTGGCCACACTTGAGAATCCCTGGGCTAGATGGTTCCTGAGGGTTCTCCTGGCTTTCAGGAAGCCTCTGAGCTGCTTTACACTCTTCTGACTGTTGGGAATGCCCTTCTCCTTTATTTCTCAACCTGCAGACGTCTGGTTGTGTCTTCAGCTTGGCTCTGGTCTCCATGCATGAGGCATGCCTCTCCTCGGAGGGGCTGCTGAACTCTGAGCCTCTCAGCAGGCTCATCCACCTGTCCCTCCACAGGGCCTGTTTGTCAGCTACTGTGTGCGGATTGACCTTCAGAATCTGCCTTCATCGTGGGCTTTTGAGCTGCAATTTGAAGGAGTAGCTGGACTGGCCCCCAAACTCCTATTTTCTCTGGGTCGGAGCCAGAGCCACTTTGCCCCCATGAACTTGTAGGGCATCAGCGTGGAAAGCTCCCTGAGAGGCGAACCTGTTAGATCTCACTGAAGATAGGAAACTGAGATCATGTCGTGGGTCCGTGGCAAGGTGAGTCTAGAATCCAGTCCTCCCAACTGCGTGACACCTACAACATGCTCACAGCAGATGTTTGCTTCTGTCAAGGGCCAAATGTTGGTGGTCCTTTTATCATACTGGGTGAACATCTTTCTCCCACATTCTCCCCCAATCTTCCCACCAGGTAATGAACATAAGTCAACTTTTCCTTAGTGTTTTGGGCACCTGGCATTGATGTCAGTAAACCCATGGGACACGCTGTCCACACCTGGGTCTGGAGGGAGCCCCAATTCTTGTGAGCACCTCACTTGCATGAGATAGTTCCCTTTTATTCGTCCTGCATTTATCCGTTCCAGAATGAAGAAGAGATTGAGTTTCTACCACACACCAGGCACCGTGCTAGGCATTAGGGGAACGAATGAAGACATACGTGCTCCCAGACTACTAAATTCAAACCATTCCTAGGGAGAAATCCTTTCCAATTTCTGTGGCTAGCCTCATCCTGCTTCTGTCTGCAGGCCCTTAGTGATAAGGAGCCTGTTTCTCCCATGGACATACTTCCCCCCCCCCTTTTTTTTTCTCTTTCTGTCAAGCCATGCTAAGGGTCACAAAAATCCTTCCTGATATGGAGTCTTTGAGCGTTACTGGGCCTACACCATCCAGCAGGGTGCAGGCTGAGTGGCCCCTGTGGACACTTCCCTCTCACACAGAACAAACACAGCGTGCTGGGTGCTGGGCCAGGCACAGGGTTGAAGGGCCCTTTCTGCAGCAGGGAGAGCTCTGCCCTAGCCTTTGGACCTCAGGTAGAAGGTCTTGCCTCTGCTTGACTGTGTCTAGAGACATTGTGGGGTCAGGGGAGCGTGATCTGCAAGCTCCCTCCAAGATGCCGCTGGGAAACCTGAGACTGGGCTCCTGGAGGGGCACCTCTATTTAACCGAGTGTCAGTACAGTAGACGTTGTGCCAGG